GGCCGACAATTTTTTTCTTTTAGACTCTGCAATATGTCACCCCATTCTCTTTTTGCCTGTGAGAGATCTCCTGTGAGTTTAATTGGCATTCCTTTATATGTCAATTGATTTTTTTTCACATGCACATTTAAGGATCTTTTCCTTATGTTCAATGGAAGAGAGCTTGTTGATCATGTGTCTTGGTGAAGACTGCTTTTAATCAAGCCTGTTGGGAGTTCTATATCCCTCCTGGATGTTGTTTCCCAATTTTTTCTCTAAATTAGAGAATTTTTCTCTTATTATTTCATTAAATATATTTGTAAAACCAGTTTCTCTTTCTGCACCTTCTGTGACTCCCATAACTCTTATATTTGGCCTCTTAATAGTGTCTTTCAGTTCCTGAATATTTTTTTTTTGGCCTGATCCAGCTCTGCTTCAAGCTTTTTGTTTGCTTCCCTCTGATGACAGGAAATATCTGCCAATTCTGTATTCTTTCTTCTGCTTGCTTCATTCTATTTTGGAGACTCTCCACTGTACTTTTAATTTGCTCTACTGTGTTCTTAATTTCTGATATATATCAGCCTTGATTTGCTTTATTGCTGCTATTGCTTGTGTAAAATATTCCTTAAATTCTTTGAACTCTTGTATGTGCTTCTCATTTTTGATCAAAAGCTTTATAATGAGTTTTCTGAATTCTGTGTCCCCCATTTTCACTATGTCTTTCTCAGTGAACTCTGAGGTTGGCATAGGGTTTTGCTCCATAGAGTCTTTAGTCATATTCATTGTGCTTTTGTTCTTTGTCATTGTACTTCTCGTTAGCAGAGTCTTCTCCTTGGGGCAGGTTTCTAATCTGTGTCACCCACAGTGACACAGGTCTACAGTTTGATTTTACTTATTGCAGTTGGCACAACACTCTTGCTTGCAGCCAATTGTGCCACTCCCTCCAGTGAGTTCCAGGTCTGGGTTCTTATGTTAGATTTCCACAAAGAACTCAGTAGTCCCAACTCCTGGCTCACCACTCTCCACCTCCTGTGATTCCATGCTGAGGCTGCATCATTGTCTGTACAACCTTTCTCACACCTCCAGTTGGAGCAGGTCCCAAGATTAGGGAGACACGGGGTGTCCTATATGGCTAGGTTGTTGGTGGCGCTGATCTTACCAGAACCTGTTGGATGTTAGGTCTGGGTGTTACACAGACCTATTTTGACCCATACGATGCCATAATCGGTATTATTTTCCTGCGGGACCAGTGCAATCCACTTAACTCAGTGAGTTCCTGCGAGCTTAGCACATGCACAGTTCACTGTTGTCCCCTGCAGTCCTAAAGCTATTGCCACAGTGCACAAAATGGCGCCTGACGTACCACTACTACAGTTCTTGATCTGCTGGCTGTCAGGTCTAAGGGCTACCTGGATCTGTCTTGGGTGGAACCTGTAGAATGCCACATTGATGCAGTTCACTGAGTCAGAAATGAGTTCACTCCCAGCTCAGTTTATGCTCAGTGCTTTCCTTTGCCTTTGCCTTCTTATGCAAAATGGCACCCAATTTTGCTCTATGGGGCTGACTGGGCTGTGAAATCTACCCTATTCTCACACAGCCTGTCTGGGATCTGGTGCTCTGTCTCTGCTCCTGGTCAAACTATATGGACCAGCAGGATGGACAGTTCTTTCTCTGGGTTCTCCTCCCAAACTTCCAGTGAAAGTCTCTTCCCACCTGGTTGCTGGTGGAGTTTTGGCTGCTGGTGGAGTTCAGATCGCCATTAGCTGAATGCCGCTGGAGTATCAGTCACTGCAACACCACACCGTCGTGTCCACTGCTTTCCTGTGTCTGTCAGTCTCCAGGTACCCCTCTGCTGTTGTTCTGTCATCTCCTATTTCCTGGAATGTGTCCTCTCTGCTTCATCCTGATTAAATGTTTTTCCGTCTGTTTAAACGTGTCCTTACCCTATTCTGCCATCTTGATTCCAAACTTTTCAAAATATCTTATACTACAATGTTCAGGTCTTCCCTAAATAGATGAAGCTGTGACACAAATAATAATATTATTTTAGAAACATTAACAAATTTATTGTGATTTAGTCCCATCAACCACTACTGGGACATAGGTGAGTATAGCATTTCAGAAAAATGTGTCCCATTGTAGTTTGCTTTGATATGTGAAGATTGTGGATTCTAGAGCAAGGAAGTAAGTTCACGGATCTTGTACTTCCTGTTCCTGATGAAGTCTCCTCTCTGGGGTTATGGGTTTAGGACTTTGTAAATCCATGCCTCTTTCCTATACAATTTGGACGTATTTCAGGCATATGATTTTTCTCATCTGATGCAAGCCAAGTGTAAGCAATTGTTCCAAACAATTAAATGTACTCATACCCAGAGCTCCAGTATCAAGTTACCAATGTGATAATAATTATCCCAAAGCTCATTAAGAGAAAAAAAAATTCCTCAGTATCCTATTTTGTTTCCTTGAAGTGGCTCATTATGCTCAGCATTGAGCAAAATCATAGACATTTTATAGGGCATACCTTTGGGTGTAGTTGATTGCTCACTATAAAAGGATTTGAGTCCAAGCCAGTTTGCCATTCACAACCAAGGGAGCTCTAGGGACCTCACAGAAGAGCTCTTTGTTCGGGTGAATTTACAGAAAAGAATGTTGAAAGTTGTTACTTTCTTTTACTGCCTTTGTCTGTCAAGTGTTGATGATACATTCTTCCACACAGCTCAGGCTCAAACTTGTGGGAATGGTAGAGGCAGTTGAAGGCAACTAAAGGTTCTGCAATTTTGTGTTTGTGTTATTTTATTAATAATTGGAAATGTTTATAGAAGAGGCTTAGAGAGAGAGAGAGAGAGAGAGACAGGTAGAGAAAAAAACAGAAGAAAAAAAGAGCTCCTATTCACAGGTTCAGTTCCTAAATGCCTACAATGGCCAAGTACTCAACTAGAGCTGAATCTGGGAGCTGGCAAGTCAAGGTGGCTGTCCCTTGTGGTGGCAAGGACCCAGTCACTTGAATCATCGCTTGCTGCTTGCCCGGGTTGCATCAGCAGGCAGCTGGATCAGGAGTTCCAGGTGGAGTAAGAACACAGACACTCCAGTTAACTGCAAGATGAGGTGCCTGCCCTGAGCGACGTGTTAGTGGAGAACATAAACATATGGCAAAACATTCACACAGTATTAGGAGAGAATGTTGAGAGCAGTGAAACTCCTTCCATCTCTGCCTCCATTCTTGCAAGAAGCTTCCATAATCATCCTCAGATATCATCTGGAAACATTCAACTCATGTAAACTTGTAAAGTCTCATAGGCCACCAGAGAGGCAAAAAGTGAACTCATTGCATGAATAGTGACTTTTTGGATGACCAGAACCCTAAATGTCTAGATTTATGGCCACATGTCTCACATACACAAAGCATCACATGTAGAATATGCCATAATTTTGAAAATAAAGTAATGTCCTTGTGAGAATTTGGAGAGATTTAGAGATTCCTGCTTAAACAGCTTTGGAAATTTATTCAGCAGCCCTAGGTAAGCCTTAGGCTGAACAGTGGAAAATTTTTTTTGCAAAGAATTTCTTTGAAGAGTGAAATCTCCAAAACTTTGTCAAGTTCAATAGTTTCATTTGAATTTTATTTGACAAATGCTGGGGTCACCTGTAGGTAACACCAGGAAATAGGTAAAATCAGAAACATTGTTTAATAATCAGGAGACCTGTAATTTCAGCCCCAGATTTTTGCAGCTTTTCTTTAGGGGATTTATTTACTCTTTGAGTGTTTCAGTGCCAATAAAATGAAGATAATAATATATATGTCATTGGATTTCATTTTGAGTTAATACCAAATCAATGTAGTTATTATTGTTTTACCTCAGTTGTATCTGTACATATGGGGTAGTTGAGGTGTACTAAATATATTTGTTTTACCTTTGCCAATGGCATATCAAATCATAAATATGAGTGTTTTGAAACTACAAAAGCATTGCTTTTATTTGTCTGAACTTTAATAAACTTGAATGGTTTTTTTTTAGGATTTATGTATTTTGCTTGACATTTGGTGTTACAGTGAGATTCTCCATCTGCTGGTTCTCTCCCCAAATGGCTGCAACAGCCACGGCTGAGCTGGTTCAAAGATGGGAGCCAAGAGCTTCCTCTGGGTCTCCTTCAGGGGTGCAGAGTCCCAAGGCTTTGGACCATCATCTGCTGCTTTCCCAGGCTATTATCAGGGAGTTAAATGGGAAATGGAATAGCCAGGACTCAAATTGACATCCACAGGGGATGCCAGTGCCACAGGTTGGAGATTAGTCCGCTACCCCACTGCGCCAGCCCCCTGAACTTTTTTGCCCATGAAGATTGACATTTTAGGTTTGTTGTTGTTGTTGTTTTCTTTCTTTCTTCTTCCTTTCCATTTTTTTGTTTGTTTGTTTTAAAGACGTATTTATTTGGAAGGCAGAGTTATTGAGATAGGGAGAGATACAGAGAGAGATTTTCCATCCTTTGGCTCACTCTCCTAATGGCCACAATTACTGAAACAGGCCAGACCAAAGCCAGGAGCTGGGAACTCCCTCTGGGTTTCCCACATGAATAGCAGGGGTCCAAGTATTTGGGCCATCATCTGATGCTTTCCTTTGTGCAATAGCAGGGAGCTGGATTGGAAGTAAAGCAGCCAAGACTAGAATCTGTGCTCACGTGGGAGGTTATCATTGCAGAAAATGGTCCAACCTACTCTACCACAGTGCTAGACCCTGATTTTTCTTTATCACCTACCTTTCATTCCCAGAGAGATGTGCTGGAGATTGGATTTTTCTAATCCCCGGCATACAGAGTCACCACTGCTGGAGAAGTGGGTGGTTAGAGAAATCTGGTTCTGCTGGGACCCTGAAATTACCTGTGAGTGCCAGGCTGCCCTGCCTAATGTAGAATTCCCATGTGAAAATCTTCAACAGTGTTTTGTTTACTTTTGCTCAGAACACCAACACAATCATCTCTTCCTGCTACTGTAACTTTAATGGTGATATATTTATGTGTTCTTCCAGGCCTCTAACCCTGGGCAATTTGAAAATGACAGTGATGCATTATGGCAGCGAGGACAAGTTCCAGAGTCTGTCATCTGTCACGGTCGAGTAGGCATAAACACAGATGCACCGGATGAGGCGCTGGTTGTCTGTGGCAACATGAAAGTAATGGGGACCATCATGCATCCCTCTGACAGCCGTGCAAAGCAGAATATCCAGGAGGTAAGCACAGGGGCAGGCCTCAGACCTCTTCTCTGACCCCTCAGCCAGGTGTATTGACACCCCTGGCTTCTGACACATCTTTCTGAAGGCATCCTTGCATGCTGCCTATCGCAGGAGCTGCACCTGCTGTTTCGCATGATGACTATTTGAGCCGGCGGGCACCACTGTTGAAACTGTGAAGCAGTCCCTACCCAAGAAAACAAATGCACTTGACAAGGGTGGTAGACGATGATAGGACGCCATTATCCTTTCAATTTCTGTGCTTATCTTTCGAGCACTTTCTCAGGTTAATTAGTTCCTGGTTGTCTTTCTGCTGATGCTCACCAGGTTCTTCCTCCCAGGATGCCTGGCATCAGCCATGGGTGCTACTGTCTTCCCAGTGTACCATCTTTTTTTGGAGAGCCATTAAAAGGCTCTTCCTTATTGACCTATACTGGGTCATCCCATCCACCAGGGTTCAAGGTGAAAACTTTTTCTCTCCATGAAGAAGGGGGAATGCCACAGTGGAAATCAGAATCCTTACCCAGACACAAGGCCACTGCTCTTAGACTTGGAGCTCTCGCCAGCAATTGCGCCCAGGAAAAACATTTAACTCATAGAGTTTCCTGGTGGAAGAACGCTCGCTAGTCTGATACCCTAAGGGTTTTTTATATTTTAACTAGTTGAGACAATAAGTCATCATGGAGAGTTATAATCAAAGAGACGAGGATCTAGATTCTGATCAGTTAACCAGTGCCGATTTCATTCCATTTCCCACACTCTGCTCCCACTCCTTATCCCACTTCCAACTTGCTACTAGGAAAACATTTCTTTTTTTAAAACAGATTTTTTCCTCATGATTTATTCTGATGATTACTTTAAATTGGAGAGGGGTGATACAATATTTAGTTATTTTTATTTGAAAGATATAGAGAGAGACAGAGAGATTTTGCACCTGATGGTTTATTTCCCCAAATGCCTGAAAGTAGCAAAGTCTGGATCAGGCCATAGTCAGGACCTGGAACTCAATCTGGGTCTTCCACATTGGTGCCAGGGACCCAAGAACTTTAGCGATTCCCTGCTGTCTCCTAGGACACAGGAAACTACAGTTAGAACTCTAACCAAGTAAACATCTGAGGCACTAGGCCAAATGCCTCACCCACTCAACTCCCAAAAGAATTTTTGAGTCTGCACAGTCTATGTATTTTTAAACCTCATTTCCCTTGTTTCCTTTATTCTTTTTTTTTTTTTAAGCTATTAGGAGACTTAATCTGTTAATCATTGCTCTTCCTCCTAAATTCCTTTCTCAGTGCAAATCAGCACTGATTTCTCTAAATCAGCCAAGGAATGTTCTCCTTTGCATGGAGGATTCTAAAGAATGGTTGTAATTGTAGACTTTTATACTGATTAAGAATTTGCAGCTCATGTTAGAAGAGTTGTGACCTACTAACTGGATGGGAACTTAGGACTGGAAAGTTCTTACATACATTTCCAGATATTGTGCTTTTGAATTTGTAACATGAGATGAACTGTCTGCATTTCAAATCCTTGATTAAAAACTCATCCTTGAGGGCCCTGCATGGTAGCCTAGTGGCTAAAGTCCTCGCCTTGCATGTGCTGGGATCCCATATGGGATGCTGGTTCATGTCCCTATTGCTCTGCTTCCCATCCAGCTTCTAGGACGGCCCAAAGCCTTGGGACCCTACACCCACGTGGGAGACCTGGAAGAGGCTCCTGGAGTCTGGCTTTAATAGATCTTTCTGTCATTCTTCCCTCTGTAAAATCTGACTTTCCAATAAAAATAAATAAATCTTAAAAAAAAAAACTTATCCTTGAAACAGTCTATGAAATTTGCCCTGAGTCTTATTGAAATGGGAATGGAATATAACACGTAGGAAATGCTCCTGCTACTCTCAGACTTAACAAGCAATTTCATCTACCAGAGTGTTCAAACATTGCTCCTTAGTCCGAGGGAAGTTCATTATCGTGGAGTGGCAGATACCTTCCTGGAAGTCTTATCTATTTAAACTAAAGGTTACACCAATCCAGGCTCTAAATGTAAAGTTTCTGCATTCCATTCTTGGACTAGAGGGTTAGGTCTGGCTTCACCAGCCAAGGGATTTTAGACCAGGGAGTTCTATGCCTTTGTTTATGATCTGTGCACAGGGGTTGTCCATATTCATTCTATCCCTGTTAAGAGATTTTTCTATGCTCATAGATGTAAGACATTTTCTAGTTGTAGAGTAGATAGCTATTTTATTTGCATGTACAAAATGCAAGTTATAGGATTCATTCATTATATTATTTTAATGTATTTGTTCTACCTTTGCTCTTTCCACATTTATGAAATATATGTCCCTGAAAATCCCATCTTTCTTGTCTGCTTTCTATTTGAGACAAAAGAGATGATGAACTTCATCTGTCTCCCTGGCTCAGTTTTTCAACTTTCAAAAAGTCATTCTTCCAACTTCTCTGGGAAGCTTACTGTCTTAATCCATTTGTACTGGTATAATGGAATACCATGGAGAGGGTAATTTATAAAGAACACAAACTTGTTTCTCACAGTTCTAGGGCCCAGGAAGTCCAAAGTGCTGGCAGGTTTGGTGTTTGGTGAAGGCCCTTGCTCCCACTTCCAAGGTGATTCCTCAAACATTGTATCTTCATGTAGTGGAGGGGATGGAAGAGGAACATTAAGTTTTCACATGAATTTTGAATAGGATACCATCATTCAAATGGTAATCCTGCCCTTGGTCACTTTGCATGCATAGGACTGGAGACAGTTCCTCATCTGATAGGGAAGTCTGCCTTGCTGGAGTTGGTTTCCTGACAAGCTCATATTGCCAAATGTAATATCCGAGCATGTTGCCAAATGCTGTAAAATGGGAAAGTGACTGTGGATGGTTGCTTTGCCCTGTGTGTCTTTTCACTCAAGACAAGGTAAACAGGAGCACTGCCTAGAGTCCTGGTGGAGGAACCCTCTAATGCTCACACAGATGCACATTGATTCAGAAAAGTTGATGCAAGTACATTTGGAACCCATGTCACTGGAACAGTTGTGAGATGCAATCATTCCATATGAGGAGCTACTTGGCTTGCCAGTGGTCTTATTTTTACCAATGTGGGTGCAGACTGGAGAAGGAAATACAGTTCTTACAGTGGATCCTGGGCAGAAAGTGGCTGAAGGAACCCACTGAAAACCTAAGAGAGCTGCAGGGTACTGATGTCAATGAGAAAAAGAAAGTGAGGTTATTGAGGGTTGAGTGCATCTATGAGGTTCCCTGCTGAAGACTGAAAACAGGCTGCAAGTGAGTGAAAAGCAAAGACCAGAGCAAGAAATCAGTGAAGAAGATATGCTGGAAGATTGCTTTGCCCTTTCCCCACCACATCAGCCAGACTGCTGGTTGAAGGCGAAAAGCCCAGGAAAGTGAAAACACACTCAGAGTCTCCCTCAGAGTCACATGCAGAAGTTCCTCAGCCAGGAATGAGCAGGTGTCACCCAAGTTGCTCATGGCACTGGGCTAAGGCAGGATGTGGACTACAACCAGATGATAGATAACAACTGGCCTTTTCTGAATAGACCAGCATTTGTCTTCTGTGCGATGAGGTTCTTGATTTCATGATGTGGAAACCTCTGGTGTGAAGAGGCAGGACAAACATGTTCATTCACCTGTACAGTCAAAATTTTCCAAAACTGTTGTGAAAACCCACATTTAGCTTGTGGCTTCTTACTCCACACACACTAATGAGCAAAGAATGACATTTCGTGCTTGCTGGCTGTGTGGAGTTCCTGGGGAGGATTCAAAGAAAGCTTAGCGCTGGCCTCAAGGATTTTCTCTGGGCCAAGTGTGTTCATAGGGAACATGCCAGACACAGCATTTATATTTGGCTTTGGGATGCTTCCAAGCCAGCCCTGGAAATCAGAAGAGCATTTCCTTTGAGGGACATTGTTATGTAAGACAGTTAGGTCTCCAAGTTAATAACTCTTAACATTTTCTTATGGAAAAAAAAAAACTCTCTAAAACAGGATGGTAATCGTACAACAGGACCTAATCGCTATGTCTAATATTTGCTAAATACATGAATAACTTTAAGGTTGCAGTTAGAAAAAGGGAAAATACAATCAAGGGCCCAACTTGGAAACCAGAGACCATTTTTCTTCTCTGCATCTTGGACAGCCTGAGTGAAGGTGTATTCTCTGCTTTCAGCAAGAAAGGAACTGACTGAGCCTCCACTTTGTTCCCTAGTGGAAGCTCATGCAGAATGCACAGGAACCAGGGGGAAGGTGGGGAACAAGAACAGCACTGTCATGATGCAGTGCATAAAGACTCGGGCAGGGCCTGGGAGTAGAAAGGTAGGTAGGCTGGCTTCTCGTTGACTTCCTTCCTTCCATTCTGTTACTCTCAAAAATTGTCCTGCCATGACAGTACCTTCATTCTTTTTTGTTTTCTTTTCTGGGCCCTGAGCAGGTTCTGAAATGAATACAACACAAACTTTACATGCAGGAATGGGTTTTTTTTTTTATCACAATTTAAGCTTCAAATAAAACATGCAAGGACATTGAGTATGACAATTACCAGCTCTGGCATGCAATAGTTGTTCAGTAAATACTTGTTTAATGACCAAAGGAGCTCACAGTGATGGATACATGCACAGACAATATGATATTTATACTTGTTATTTCTTACATGAGCTGTAAGACCTTCCCTACCCTGACCTTATCCTTAACCTTTATAGTCCGGTAATGCCAAACTCAGCCTTGGTTGTCCAGGCATCCTTCAAGGATCTTTCTGCCAAGGTGTTCTGTCTGCCTAGCATTCTTTCTGTCTTCTCCCTGCCCTTCCCCTTACTTCCCTAACAATGTATTTGAAAAATAATCAGTTGAGCAACTACCACATGCAAGGAATTGGACTAGAAACTTGTCAGAAGATGATGGACAGGACCACAGCTCAGGTCTGTCCACCGGGGTGTACATTCTGTAAGGCAAGGCAGAATAAAATGGACACAACTGTCTAGTGACAGTTGAGACTGGTGCTGTGAGGATGTGAAGCAGAGGACCTCTTCATAGTCTTGAAGATCAAGGAACACTGCTTGGAGAAAGGGATGTTGACACTGAGAGGTCGAAGTAGAGCTGCTGAAGCGGGGAAAATGGTCCAAGCCAAGGTACTGAAGAAGAGGGACTGAGACCAGTCCTGATTGGCCAGGAAGCTTTCTTTTATGCTGTCTCCTTCCCTAGAATATTATATGTGCCTTCTTGGAACTGCCATAATTCTCCATCCCTAACTACATCATTACCCTGCACCACACCTCATACTATAATCTAATCATATGTGAGGCGTCTGCTTGTCTAGGCCATTTCCAATTCCTAATTGTATGTGAGGTATTTGTTGAAGGTGATTGGTAAATGTTAGCCAAATGAAACAAACGAATGGATGAATTGAACTAAAAGTTTGGTGATAATATCAAAATAGCTCAACACTATACTCTGGATAGGTAACCAAAGTAAAACCAGTGTATTTAACCAATTGAGCACATAGCCACCCTTTTATATAACCAGCCAAACTATAGTCAGGCACTGAGAATCCTAAATGACCATCCAGGAGCATTTCCTGCTGCCTCATACAATGAATCAAGGGAAAAGCTGAGGACCTCGACAGGGTTTCTCTTAAGACAACAACAAGCATTTTTTTATTCTTCTGACTCATAGATGAAAGCCTATGTGGTTTCTTTTTAATTATAAGGACACTGTTGATTTTGTAATCCAGTTATGTACCCAAAGATGATTGGGGAGCTTACATAGGGTGCTAACTTGCTACTTGTCAAATAAGGTCATTAAGCAAAAAATGTTTATTCTGTTAATATCATCAATCGCTTGGCAAAGTCCAGCTCAAAGTGGAATCTTTTGGATAGAACTCACTGAGCACTTGGGAAGATTCCCTCTATTGTCTTCTTACTGTTGCTGAGAGCCAGTGCGGTTTCTTGAGGACCCTTGAATGACTGCTGGGAGTGCCTTCTGTGGAAAAACAGTGCTCTCAGTACAGGATTCCTGGGAGAGAATTCTGAAACAGGAGGAGAGCTGCCTTCTGAAGAGCTTACAATCCCCTACGAGCAATTTCCTCCAATAAAATGTCTAAATACTATGAACAATACAGTCTACGCATTCCTCCAGGTTGGAAGTTGAATGAAGCCCTACATGTTCTATTGCAAACTCATGTTTTGCCCTGGGCCCATTTGAAAATTATGCCTTGCAACCCTAAACAGTGGTTGTTTTGCTCCAAAGTAAGATCCTGTTTTCTCAGAATGAGGGTTCTCCTTGTGCAGGAAAGAATGTAAGGCAAGACCAGTGAATGGTGGAGTTTGGCCCTATGATTTAGACAGGAAAACTCTAGGCCCATTTATGAATTAGGGGAAGAAAGCCACTGATGGGAACTTTGAAACTTTGAGGGGAAAAGAAAGAATATTTGTTAAAATAGAATGAACAGCAGAAAAAAATATTTCTAATCTCTCTTGGTCACCGTGGGTATTGATTTGAATAGCAAATATCTAGGTGGGTGAAGTCTGCTCTTCTTTAATTAAATTAGGTTGACACAAATGAACAGCTGAAAAGAATAGCCCAGATGAGGATTGTTGAATATGAATACAAGCCTGAATTTGCATCTGCAATGGGAATAAACGCTGCACATCAAACAGGTATGCACACAAATTCCCTCTTAATTCTATGTAGTGGACAATTAAAACTGTAATCCTCTCTTTATTTGGAGGGTGTGTGTTGTAGTATTTGACAGCATTTGGTCTCTCATGCTTTGGGAAATCTCATAATCGTTAAAACAGAGAAGGTTAAAGAATTTCTGGGTTCTTTTGGCTTAGCATCTGGATGCCTGCACCCCAATGTCTTGGTGGAGTAGTTTGGGCACATTGTGTCTGTTTACTGGAGTCTTCTTGCTAATGGAGTGGGAGTTTAGAACAGCTGTGCCCATCAGAAGCTGGGAGCAAGGAGCTTCTTCCCAGTCTCCCAAGTGAGTGCAGGCACCCAAGGATTTTAGCCATCTAGCCATCTCCTGCTATTTTCCCAGGCTGTTAGCAGGGAGCTGGATCAGAAGTAGAGTAGCCAGGACTAGAACTAGTGTCCTTTTGGGATACCGATGTCACAAGCAAAGGATTAGCCTGATACACAGCTTTACCAGGTCCAAGTAGTCCTTCCTTCCTTCCTTCCTTCCTTCCTTCCTTCCTTCCTTCCTTCCTTCCTTCCTTCCTTCCTTCCTTCCTTCCTTCCTTCCCTCCCTTCTTCCTTCCTTCCTTCCTTCCTTCCTTCCTTTCTTTCTTTCTTTCTTTCTTTCTTTCTTTCTTTCTTTCTTTCTTTCTTTCTTTCTTTCTTTCTCTCTCTCTCTCTCTCTCTCTCTCTTCCTCCCTCCCTTCCTTCCTTCTTTTCTAATACTTATTTGAAAGGTAGAGTTATTTGAAAGAGAGAGAGGAAGACACACACACACACACACACACACACTGTACCATCTGCTGTTTTATTCCCTAAGTGGCTGCAACAGCCAAGGCTGAGCCAGGCTGCAACCAGGAGCTTCATCTGAGTCTCCCACATGGGTGCCAGGGGCCGAAGTGCTTGAGTCATCTTCCACTGCTTTTCCTAGTTCATTAACAGGGAGTTGGATTGGAAGTGGAATAGCTAGAATACCGGCACCCATACACCCATATGGGATGCTGGCATCGCAGATGAAGATTAAACCTGCCTTGCCACAATGCCAGCCCCTATCCTATCATAGTTCTTAAGGAAAAAAAATTTATTTGCCTCAAAAGCATCCTAGATGAAAACAAAAGCTTTTTTAGGGTAAGTGTGCACTTATACACATGGCTGCCTTGTGTCATTCTGATGTGCGCCCGCGAAGGTGTGTCCCTCGTTAAACCTGCCTGAGTGTTTTGTGATAGGCATGATTGCCCAGGAGGTGCAGGAGATCTTGCCCAGTGCCGTCAGAGACGTTGGCGATGTGACCTGTGAAAACGGCGAGACGTTGGAGAACTTCCTCATGGTAGACAAGGTAATTCATTGATGACCGGATGTCTACTATAATTGCGACCAACCCCGGGGTTAAAGCCCAGTGTGTGTGGTAGCACAGTGGACTGAAACATCCCAGCAGGATGTGGGACACTGAGTTGTGGAGTGAATTAGTATGAAATATTTTGCATTGTTCATAGGTGTTAATAAGAAATCACATAAATCCACACTCTCATCGGGTATGAATGAGTTGATTGATTTGGTTATTCCACATTGTGTTTAAAACATCAAGCATCAGTTTACTTACCACAAATACATGCAGCTATAATTTGACAAGGGGGAAGAATATACAGTAGTAGAATTTGGGTCCAGCAGATTGTTGAAGACAAATTGGCACTGGACAAGTCCACTTAGCATAAATGTACATAAAAGAAGAACCAAATGTCATGATAAATGCTGATCCAAAAAGTTCTGGCTATATTTCACTTTTTAAAATGGAGCAAAAGCTTGGAAAAATGTATCTTCTTTTTATGTAATATAGCTTAAATTCTGATTTCCCAGTATGCCTTTTGATAAAATCGTTAAAGTTTGAAGGAAGTGTTGAAACTGTATTTGAGTATCATCGCTGATAAAATTATATGTGTCACTTTCACTGTAGGATAATGAAGTGGGTCATTTTTTACAAATATTCATGGACCTCATCATTTTTCACCTGAGGGAGTGCCTTACTTCTTTGATATTCAAATCACTATCTTTTGAAGGAACATTAATATGCCTGTAGACTAGCTCCCCTTTGCTTGGCAACAGGCTGAGCCTGCCAGTTCCTTGCTTGTCAATGCTGTATGTGTTATTTGAGTAGTTTGTTGATACTATGCCTACCAACTCTGAAATCCTGCATGTTTTCAAAGCTTGCAAGCCCACTACATTGTTTCATTTGATGCTGGGAGGAAAGACCGAAACAGGATTTTGGTAGTTGTGGGGAGACATATGGGGTAGAGATTGTAATTGGTCAGTTCATGAAGGCAGCACTCAGCAAACATCAAAGTACAGCATAGGAATCTTATTAAAATGCAGATTATGATTCTGCAAGAAAGTGCTGGGGTGCTACAGAAATGCTACAGGTTTTTTAAAGATTCATTTGAAAGAGTGAAAATGTGACAAAGAAAGGAAGAAACAGAAAGAGAGAGAGAGAATTTCTATCTGTTGGTTCATTCTCCATTTGGCCTCAGCGGTTCTCAGTCCACATGGGGCTGAGCCAATATCCTGGAACTCTGTCCAGTTCTGTCCCATGGGTGGCAAGAGCCCAAACTCTTGGGTCACTTTGCTCTGCTTTTCCAGAAAGCTGCCTTAAAGTAGTGGAGTTGCTGAATCTTGAATTGGCATCTCAAGTAGTGACTTAACCCATATTGCCACCTAATGTGACTTAACCCAATGCCTGCCCTGATTCTGTACTTCTAACCAGCCTCCTGGTGATGCCAGTCTTGCCAACACCAGTAGTTGCCAGCCACCTTTGGAGTGTACCTTTCAGGTTAGGCCCCTCCACTCCAGGTCGTGACTGAATGAACCCTAAGATGATAGAATTGTCTTGGGCATAAGTTCAGCCTAGAGCTGTAAGAGTTGGGTGGTGAGAGTGGATTTATTGCCTTCTGTTCTCAGGAAGAAGAGACTATTCAGTATGTCTTTCCAGAGCCTTGACTAGCACTTTCATTTAAGAGGTGTGTCATTAAGAATGTATGGATTCCCAAATATTATGTAATAGTAGGGTATACAAAACATGAACTTTATTATCACAGCCATTTGTAAGTGTACATCTCAGTGATATGAAATACATTTGTAGTGTTGTGTGACCATCACCACCATCTCTCTAAAACCCTTCATTTTGTAAAGTTGAAATTCTGCACCCATTAAACAGGAACTCCCTAATCCTCCCTCCCCTTTGCCACTGGGCAACCACCATTCTGCTTTTTGTCTCAGTGATCTTGTTGCCTTTGTCTTCTGGAAGTGGGGTCGTACGATGTTGTCTTTTTGACAACATATGACTGATTTCATATTGTGTAACGTCCTCAAGGTTCATCTGTGTTGTGTCTATGTCAGAGTTATTTTTCCCTTTAAGGCCAAATAAAGTGTGTTGTATGTGTGTGAATTCTTTAGGTTTTACTTATCCACTTGCTTGTTGATGGATGCATGGGTTGCTTTCATGTCTCAGCTGTTGTAAATAATGCTATTGTGGATGTGGGTACAAATATTCAATTCCTCAGGGAGATATATACCTGGGAGGGGAATTCTGGATTCTAAAGTTATTCTATTTTAATTTTGAGGAATTTCCATACTGTTTTCTTCAGTAGCTGTATCATTGTACATTCCTACTAACAGTGTCTCCCTATCCTCATTAACATACTTACATGTGATTTCTTTAGCATAATCAACCTAATGGGCATACGGTGGTGTATCATTGCAATTTTGATTTATATATTTTTTTAAATGATTGGTGATAGTGACTATCTTTCACTGGCTGTTTGCACATTTTCTTTGGAGAAATGTCTGTTCAAGTCCCTTGCCCACTTTGGGGTTGAGTTGTTCGTTTTCGTGTTGTTGAGCTTTATGAATTCTCTATATCTTCTGAACATGAATCCATTATCAGATATAAGGATTGAAAATATTTTCTACCATTCTATGGATTGTCTTTTCACTTCCTTCACAGTGTCTTTTTATGTATAACAGTGTCTAGTTTGTTTTAAGGTACCATCAGCTTGTTCTTACTTGCCTTTCTCTAATATTAAGTTGCGCATTTATTTCTTGTCAGCTATTGGGATTTCTTCTTCTGTAATTGTTTGCCTTAGTGTTTTTCTCTGATTCCTGTATTTTCCAGGGTAGGAATATAACTTTTCACTGGACTGTATTGCTTTACTGTTTTGCAGTGCTCAAAAATAAAACCAAATCTATAGCAGTAACTTAAGATGGTGGCACTTCTGTTCTGTTTAAATTGTTCTGTTGTTGGCTTCCTTCCTAGTGCTAATTACAACTTAAAGCAATATTATTTACTTGTGATTTATATGGTATTGATAATTCTGCCTTCCCTCCACCAAAAGACAATGTAGTCTTTGAGGGTAATTATCTTATTTGATTTATCTAATTGTTTTTGCCTCTGCACTTGGGAGGGTGCTTGGCACCTCAAAGGTGACTGGCTAAAGAATTACTGATTCTGCTCATTCACTGAATATTGGGCCAGGTCAGATGCTGGGTTAGCTTTGGGGAGTCTCAAGACCCATTGCCCTCCAGAGGAACAGCCACTGGTAACATGAGAGATCAAAGGATCTTGTGTTAGCTTAACTAGAAACTTGTCTCAGTCTTTGCACAGAACATTGCATTTCTGAGGGCACTTGAGCAAGCTCCTGTCTGCTCAGCAGCAGTGGTGGCTCAAGTGTTCAGGTCCCTGCTTCCCGTGTGGGAGACATGCATCGAGCAGTCCTGGCCCTTGGCCCTCACTGGCCCTGAGGATTGTAAGTATTTGAGGGAGTAAAGCAGCAAATGGAGGTGTCTGTCTCTGTCTTTCAAATTAAATAAATCGGCAAATATTTTTTAAAATGTGAAAAATGGCATGAAAAGACAAGTTTGATAGACACAAATTTGGAAATCCATGCATAGTTTTTTCCTGATATACGTTTTTCATGAACTTTTGGGAAATTTTTTCTAAACAGAAATGTAAGTTAAATTCTAAGGCAAACAACCAGAGGAAGCAGTAAGACACCCAATTTAATAAACATCCTGAATCTCAGATTTTTCCCATATAAGGCAAAAAGTCAAAGCATGGCATCCGAGGAAATGAGCCCGAGTTGGCCTCTTAACAGAGAAGCACATGCACAGCCAGCCTGTCCTGTCGTCCAGGGTCTGTGGACAGTCAATGACCTGGGCATCAATGCTTCCACAGCCACTCAGTAGCCTGCTTTTCCTGCTTTTGTGAAAGCCGTGTCAGGGCTTAGTGAAATTCCGCACAAAATAGACACCTAGACAAAGTTATAAAGCTGAGTTTATTCAAAGCCTAAATAACTATCAGGAACACCCATTGGCTTAAAGACAGTTTCTCTCCCTCTGGCAATTATTTTTACAATGTTCAATTATAAGCTGTCTTCTCATGATTTTCTTATAAAACATCAGTGCATGCTAGTCTGTAGCTCTCTCTTGGAAATATATAAGGGGTTATTTTATTTTTTCAAAGCTTTCTGTGCAACCAGATTGGTTATTCTCACTAAGTGTTACCGGGTAGAGGACAATCTGCAGTTGCTAAAGAGGAGAGAGACATCAACTCCACTGCCTGGGCTGTGTTCCATTGTCTCTGGTTTGTTATCCTCAGATGTGCAAGGGACCAAGGAGCTGCAAGCTGTGTTCTTCAAAGTCAGAGGGTTTCCCATGGTGGCAAGGGCTGAAGGGCTATTGTCTGTTTCCTGAGCCCATTCCTTTCCAAAGAGGAACAGAGCTAGCCCAGATTGAGCCCAGTGTACTTAAACCTCTGGCCCCTTGCACTGAAGATGATTAGATGAGAAGTGCTTGCTTAATTCACCCAAATTTCCATGGACATTCCCTAACATAAAAAGGAAATTTGGACTTTAGTTCCTCTGCATCTCTGGGTGAAATTTCAGACAAAAGAATAATTTAGAAGTGGGCCTTATTATTATTTAAAAAAATTTTTTTAAAGAGTAATTTACGCAGTCAAAAAAAAAAAAAAAGAAAGAAGTGGGCTGCCATCTTTATCACTAGAGAGCTGTTCATGGCATGAAACACCCTGTGTGAACATTCATTCATTTATTCATCATGCCCTGCTGGAGAATTGGCTTAAGCAGGATGTGGTCTTTGGTGCCATTGTCCAAGTGTTTATGTTGTAAACCATGTTTGAGGAAAGTAGAGCAGGTAGTGGAAGCAGCCTGCACTTTTACAGGGACTGGAGGAAGCATGGTGAGTTCAGTGAATGACAAATGGTTCCAAACAGTTTGAGCAAACTGAGAATGGGGCTTCGGGGAAAGACAAGTTTTGGATAAGGGATCCGTTTTAAGCTTGGTGGCAGCTCTGATTTTACAAATACCCCTCTGTGGCTTCCAGGTACAGTAATACTTAAGTGTCCACTTAAAATACACATTCATCCTTTGTCCATTTGGACTCTACTCCAAAACAAGTCTTTCTAACAATGACCAATAGAGTCTTTTAAGAGAAGAGCTCATTAGTGATTTGAGAGAATTGCCACTTTTCCTTCACAGTGTCATTAGTGACTCGTGGTGGTAGGCTAGGCCAATCATTTTCACAGTGGTTACGTTATGCTTCAGCTGCTTTATTCAATCTCTTCTAAAACTTACTAGCTGGAACAGTATTGAGTAATTAAGTTAGATTCAGTCACCAAATAGTTCTTAACCAAGAGTGAGCATCAAATGTGGAAATTCTTCAAAGTATTCCACACTTACCCCTTTTCTCAGGGTTAATGACTCTAGGCCCCTACATGGGGTCTAGATGTATGCGTGTAGAAAAAGTTCCCAGGGCATGTAGGATATGCATATTCCTTGTTAAAATTCTCTAGAGCAGATCTTATTATTTACGTCAGAAAGGCTATTTTCAGAAGACTCAAGTTTACATTTTGGAAACTTTCTACACTAACTTCACAGTGGTGATAGGGGACATAAGTCAGAACTCCAAATGTTTTTATCAGAGTCCATCTAACATGTCCTGGAAATTTATTTTTTGGTAATTTTCCATTGAATCCATAAAATCAGAGCTGGCCATAATTAGAATCAGGAAGGTAGTAAATTTCCTCTGCCTTTTATTTCCTCCCAAATAGAAGAACTCATGAATTATCTTCTTGCTTGTTAGACCTACCTGGAAGGTGTATAGTGCTGGCAAATTTGACTTAGAGAATTAAATCATTATTGACAAGCTGCTGGACAACTATAGCCACTGCTGATATTTCATGAGGCTGTATTCAGTTTTGCTGAGGAAGATGTTGCTGAAAGAATTTACTTGGTTTAGAAGGAATTTGGTTATGATTCTCCACTGCATGCTTTGGGCTGTATCATAAATTAATGTATCAACAAACAATTAAAAGAAATATGAGGGAGGCATTAGGCTGAGTGGATGAGTTTCTGGTTAGAATACCCTCTTTGCCCTCTCTAGTACTTGGCGTTGATGGTTAGCCCTGTTCCTGACTATAGCTTCTTCCCAACGCAGACCTTGGAATGTAGCACGTGATGACTCAGTGCTTGGGTCCCTGCCACCCATGTGGGAGATCTGGCTTGAGTTCTTGGCTTCTGGCTTCAGCCTCGGCTCAGTCCCTGATCAGTGTGTACACTGGCAGATGTGAACCTGCAGGAGGGGTCTTCTGTCTCAAGTAAATATATGAGTTAAATAAATGAAAGCTGTGCTCATCTGTGACTTTAAATTGTACATATGTCAAATGGGCTTAAAATTTTTTAAAAAGAAAAAAAAGTAAGAAGCCAGTTGAGAAGGTTAAAAAAAAAGGTGTGAGCAGTAGTGTTTGTGGAAGACAGAGAGAAGCAAAGTTTGGGTTGTGAAGTTGAAAACCTTGGGAGATGGCCAGTGAGAAGCAGGATGCACAAAGGAGTCGAACAGGGTCATGGGATTCTATTTTGGCCTTCTTTGTATGCAATAATTAAGCATGTGATCTCCCTTAAATAAGGTTATAGTGTAAAACACCTTCCAGTATGAACACAGTATGTAACTACATTAACATCTATTGTGATTTAGAACCGCAGAATGCTATTCCTCGTGATTTCTGCCTCATTTTTATTAATACAAATGTAGAACTAAAGGAAAACTTGCATCAGATTAAGAAGTTTAGAGGGGCTTTTGTCAGAAGAATTTGTGTGTGTTGTTAAAAGCATTTTTAAGGAATGTAAAACATTTACAAAATTAGAATGAAATCCTTCAGATGCCTCACTCAAGATTCCATAGTTACCTATTTTTATGCAATCTCATTTGAATTAAATCCTCCACCAAATCCCAAGAAAACTGGATTATTTGAAGCAAGATTCAACATAGTATTATTTTACTGGCTACTTCAATACGTTTTCTAAGAGGACTGCCTCCTAAAAATCAAATCACTTTATTATTACCACACACAGGCTTACGGTGATTCCTTTATATCATCAAACCTAATTTGTGTCTAAACTGCAATTGTTTCATTTTATTTTTCTAAAATATTGTTGATTTATTTATTTGTCTATTTATTTACTAATTTGAAAGGCAGAGTTACTGAAAGAGAGGGAGAAACAGAGAAAAAGAGATCTTCAGTTCTCTAGTTCATTTCCCAAATTGTTCATACCCTAACTGGCAAAGATCAGTGATGGGACATGCGGGAGCCAGGAGCCAGGAGCTTCATCTGTGTCTCCTATTTAGGTGGCAATGGCCCAAGCTCTTGAGTCATCTTCTACTACTTTTCCCAGGCATGTTAAAAGGGAATTTGATTAGAAGTGAAGCAGCTGGGATTTGAATTGGTGCATAAGCAGGAAGCTGGATTGGAAATGGAGCAGCAGAGACTGGAATTGGCACAGGTCACTTCCTTATGAGATGCCAGTGTTACAGGTGGCGCCTTAACTCACTGCACCGCAGCATCTACCCTCTGTGATTTTTTTAAAGTGCCCTCATTTATGATAGATTTTATTCCAGCACAATATATGGAGATGGTCTTCATTCCTTTTTCCACTTGCATTGTGCGCTGCTACATGACTGCGTCATCACAGTCCACTAGGATGGGCATTTGTATTGATTTTGACCCTTTTTTCCCTTTAGTTTTACCAGAAGCCTGATATAGATTCCTAGAAGTGGGATTACAGACTTAAAGATAAGAATAAATGCAGTGATGCTAGATATTGCCAAATTCCATTCCATAGTAGTTATATCACTTTGTGTTCTTTGGCTATATTTGAAGAATATTTGGTTGAAACCTCAGGAAAATTTTAGGATTTTCTGGTGACTTCTGAGAAGACAGCACAGAGAGGTGCCTTTTAATTTTAATATTGAATTAATCTTTTTTGGTGTTTCCTTAAAAAAAAAAAAGCATAGGCTTCAGAGATTAAGCTTCTGGCAATTTCACTTCCCAAAGAAGAATGTTTTCTGTTTTTCTAAGTATCTGACTCCTAGGACTTCCCAACCTTTTGTGTGTTCTTCCAGAGCATGACCTGTGGGCACAGCCTGGTGCTCCGTGCTGGCGGGATACATAAATACATGTGTGCAATCATTGCTCTCCCACCTGCCCAAGACAAGACAAGTGGCCAGGTGATAAATCACTTGTAGGAGGACATCGTGCAAGAGAGGGATGCCGTGAGCTCCTGGCTGGGGTGGGATTTGGGGAATTGCTTTTAAATCACAGGTCAGCATTGGAGTGAAGTCCCAGCCCTGGGCCAATGCTGAGACCCTTCCCTGTTTGTAAATTGGAGAGAGCCTGCTGGTATTTCAGAACACATGCCTGCTATGCAGCTGCCCAAAGCAAGCCTTGCATCTGTCAGGTTCAGCTCATCATTCCTTTGTCAATTGCTTTCCAGCGTCTTTTAAAGATTTATTTTTTATTAGAAAGTCAGATATACAGAAAGGAGGATAGTGAGAAAGATTTTCTATCTGCTGGTTCACTCCCCAAATGGCCACAGCAGCCAGATCTGAGCTGAACTGATCCAAAGCCAGGAGCCAGGAGCTTCCTCCAGGTCTTCAATGTGGGTGCAGCGTCCTAATGCTTTGGACCGTTCTCGGCTGCTTTTCGAGGCCACAAGCAGGGAGCTGGATGGGAAGCAGGGCTGCCAGGATGCAGCCGGTGGTCATATGAGTTCCTGGCATGTACAAGGTGAGGATTTTAGCTACTAGGCTATTGCTCTGGGCCCACTTTTCCAGCATCTTAAACTCATGAAGCTTGTTTGTAGGCTGGGCTCTGAAAGACACACAGGTTCTGAGTTTGACCTTCGAACACCCTTGAGTTCCTGTTCTTTAGCTCAGTCCTTGGCAACAGTTAACCAGGTCCTGTGAGTCACAGAAAGTGCTGTAGGATTTTGAACATAGAAACAGAGAGAGGAAAAGGAGCTGAGGGCATGGGGTCTGTGAGTGGAGAAGAGCTCCCTGGGATCGGGTTATGGCTAAGAGATAGATACACATGTTCCCAGGACAGCTGCAGTGTCGGGGTGCAGGATGGCTCCTATGGTACAGTGTGGGTACGGGGGAGGAGTCTGCTGTCCTTGTGGCCTTGGTTAGTCTTTCCTTTCTCTTTCTGATGTGTCAGTGGCTTTCTTTGGACAGGAAGTTCCTTTTGGTTTTATAACTTCTGTTTGGAATTTCGGTTAAAGTATAAATTTTACACAGTACTTCATGGGATGCTGAAACATAAATGAATACATCGAGCATTATTCTCTCATGGGCAGCTGAACTGACAGAAGCCCAAAGAAGTTACGACCTTTCACCAGGTTTTCAACTTCCAGCGAGAGGCAGAACCCGACAAAAGCCTGGCTCTTCATTGCTGCTGCCTTCACCAGAGCAGGGTGATGCATGTTTAACCAGCAAACCTGGGCGCATTTCTGAGGGGGACTTAGCGACGAACACACAAATCAACACTTGGAAGCCAGTTCTGACTTGCGTTTTACGAGTTTTAACTATAGCGTCATAGCCATTGGAAATAAATCTTTGGGTCCCAAATCTAATAATGTCCTTCAGCTCCCCTCTCTCTCTTGGGTTACAAGGACATATTTCCCCTTTATTGCAAATTGAGCAGCAGCAGTTTTACTACAGAGCCAGCAGTTGAGCAAGACAGCTCTCAGTTTCACACCTCTCCAGATTTATCTGGAAAGAACTTTGACATGGGGACATACCACTTTCAGTGTGTGTGCCAGCTGTGCTGCAGTGGGCTGTGGACCATCCCCTGCTGGGTCACACCCCGTGTACATACGCACTCTGTATTTATAATCTCCTTTTTAGGACCAGATCTTTATGGAAAATGTGGGTGCGGTGAAGCAACTCTGCAAACTAACCAACAACCTAGAAGAAAGAATAGAAGAGCTGGAGATATGGAACAAAAAACTGGCCAGGCTAAAGCGACTCAACAGCTGGAAGTCTTCTGTCAGTGAAACCAGTTCCAGCAGGTGCGTCCAGCACTGCCATGGATGTTGGGGGGCAAAACGAGCCCGGGTTCTTTCCAGGTAACAGGTTCAGTGGCCCTCTGGGTCACGTAGAGACCAGGACTCTCTGAGAAGGAGGTCCCTGTCCTCGGAGAGTGCTTTGCCTTCTGTGGTCATTCCCTTCTTTTCTCTGTGGCTTGAGAACTGACAAAGCCCAAGCAGCATTACAGGAAGTGCTCAGTTTTGGCAGGAGTGGCTTCTTTTCTGGAGAGGTCACAATTTCTAAATTTAGGGAACTTTGGTCCTCAGGAAAAAAAAAAAACTGATTATTGTTGCTGTTGTTGTTATGGAAAGAGTAAGTCTATATTTCCCATGGCTGAGTTTCCCGAAAAAGAGAAATTTAGTGTTTCATGCATCCACTGCGCCTACTGATGTCTCCTTTCACAAAAAGAATGCCTAACTGCCTGGATTGCCTTGAGCTTTCTTTTCTCAAATTATTGTCACAGGAAGGAAAGTTACACTACTGTGTTATGATAGCTTGGGCCTTTGTCATGTATTCCTAGAGAAGAGTAACCTTTTTTTTTTTTTTCTGTTTCTTTCTCTCTTTTCTTTTTAAAGCAAATTTAGCAGAACTGTTAGTGCATCTTCTACAAGAAAGACCTTTTCCAAAAAAGCCAATAAGGTAAATGGACTTACATGTTTAATGAACCGGGATGATATCTTTTATACTCAAGAAAAGTAGTTCAGGAAAATGATCGAAGAAGTTTTCCTTATTTATATATAGTTTGCATCCTGCATATTTTTGGAAATTACGTACTAATCCTTTAATATATTAACTGTTTTTAAGCATAAAAGTTTAGAGAAATGAGTATAGAACATTTCAGAACTGTCTTGACAGATTTTGCTCATATTTCCTGTTGGGTGAAATTAACCAGCCACTCCATGCATTGGGCCCTGGGCCATCAGATCTGCCGGTGTTCCTTGACCCCACTTAGTCACTTATCTTTAACTCCCGTAGATCCCAAAGGGCCTTCCCTTAATCCTCAAATTCCCCTTTTCCTTTGGTATTTGGTACTTAGCATGCAAAAAGAAAAGGATAGGTTTTCACTTGCTTGCAAAGGCTAAAATGTGATGGTTTTACTAACAAGTGAAGAAAAGTTTCATCCCTAGGATTAATCTGACATTGGAAAGTGAAGGCTGACATTCATTAGCATCAAGGCCACTCTCTCCATCACAGAGAGGTGTTAGTGAGGGAAAAGCCGCAACCCTCCCTTCCTGCCCTGCTCCCTCTGATCCACCAGTGACCTCAAAGTGGACCTGCCCAAGGAAGTTATTCTTGACCTTAACGACTACCTTGTTAAAGGCAACTTAACCGGTGCTTAAGTAACTGCCTACATTATTCTCTAAGCTTCACGCTGTACTGCGTTGCATAGCTCTACTAAAGACAAGGGAAACATGTTGCTGACAAGTTTCTTGGTATATCAGCAAGCACAAACACACAGGAAAATATACATATAGAAGTGTTCTGAGGACACACTGGGAACCAGAGCTCCATATGGCACCCATCGTGTTAGGATTGTTGGTAGGATTAAATGAGCTCATTGCATAGTGTCCAGCACATGCAGCTCAAGAAACACAACACTAAAAATGTTGAGTAGGGAAAGGTGGTGTTGGCACCAAGCAGTTTGTGATTACAAGATAAAGAGAAGCCAGATAGGGACAATTTTGTTAGCTTCGGCTTCTTTAAATTCACCTTTCACCCAGAAGGTCTTTACTTGTTCCTGAATAATAAATAGAATGTGTGGTCCATAGGGTAGGCCTTGGATCTGTCTTAATGTATCCCTAGGAACTAACACGGAAAAGATGGTCAAAAAATATTTACCAAATAAATAAAGGAGTGGAGAGTTCAGTCTGAAAATATTCCCTGAAGCCTCACGATTCCAGCTGAAAATACTAAGTGGTTGAGTGTCCGGTGTGTGGGCAGGGTGAGAGTTGAGATGTGGACACTGGATCAGGGACTTCATGGATGCATGAAAGAGCATCCATTCAACCCAGAGCCCTCCTGATCACTGCAGACGCCCTGTGGGTGGCAAAGATGAGTCAGATGTGATCTTTTCTTCTGAGGCATTACAAAGTAGTTTGGGAGAATGCAAAGAAAACACAAAGCAAGGTTGTACCTGGTTGGATAAATGCTGCCCAAAACAAGACAGGCTGGCAAGGGGTGTGGAACTGGAGGAAAGGCTTCAAACAGAGGCATAAACAAAGTTCTGGGAGCTGGACCAGGCTTCATTGAAGGCTGCCTGGGAACTGGTTAGGGAGGATAGATAAGGCTGAAAACACTTTAGTGCAGGTTTGGATTTCCTGATAAGCCACGAAGACCCTGAATAATAACAAAGATTTCTACACTGTGTAGGGTTTTCTTTTTTATACTGAGACAGAAAAGGGGGCAGCCCAGTGCTGTAGTTAAGAGTACAGATTCTGGAACTTTTCTTTTCTCTTAAGAACCTGGGAGAAAACACAGCTTTCCTGTTCCTCCTTCATCCTGTCTCTGAAATGGGGATGATAAAATGACCTGCCTCATGGGGCTGCTGAGGATCACTGTGAAGATTGGGTCCAACAGTAGAAATAAAACACTCAGAAGAGCAGGTGGCACACCGTGTGATTTTCATCATTCCTAGCACTAATAAACCCACTGTTTTAGTTTTTCTTAGAGTCTGGTGTTTGTCAGAATCATCCCTGCAGCTTAGCTAAGAATACAAACTAGGAGTATTATACTTGCCCTCTGTGGTGTTGGTAGCAGGTCTCTGCTTTCAGCAAGTTGACTTTCCCTTCCATTACCACCACCAGCTCACTGGGCCATGAGGTCGTGGAAATACAGGTTGGCGGTGGAGTATTGGTGAGCAAAATAATTGCTGTGTTAGCAAGTGGATAGGCTTCAGCAGTTGGTAAGAAACTGAGAGAAAGCCAGTTCCTAACACTGGCCAAGATGGAGCTCGCACTGGGGGAGCCTTGGTGTCCCCTGACCTGGGGCTCATAGGTCTAGCACCCCTCTTTCTTTGTTCCTTTTCCTGTCTCCAAGGCACCCATGTGGGTGATTCTTGCTTCTAGTGGAGTTCAGAGTGAAGTGGAAAGGACTTTGAAGAGGAGGAGAGGAGAATGGAGAGAAGTGAACATGAATAAATACTTCCCATCATCTCACCATTTAGAGAATCTCAGTCTCCACCCCACCCATCCAAAATAAAACCTATCACAGCAGAAGTACCCACAGCGTTTAAGTTTCTTACCGGCTTTAATGTAATTCTCATACATACTTGAATTTGAGAGCCATGAAAATGTTAATTGGGTTTTTTTTCCCTTGTTGTTCTTATTTCATTGGCTAGGAAAACAAAGATCAGTGACATTTATGTTACTTAGTCTGGCTTCAGGTCTTAGGCTGATGCCTTCTTGGTTTTCAGAAAGTTCACTTCAATTGATGCATTCACCATACCTCTCAGGGATTGTATCCTTATCACAAAGAGCTTGTTTAAGCCCTTCCCTTTTACAGTTAGAGATAATTTCTTTAAGCAGATAAGATTAAGAAATTGAACTGGGGCCCAGCACGACGGCCTAGCAGCTAAAATCCTCGCCTTGAATGCACTAGGATCCCATATGGGCATTGATTCTAATCCTGGCAGCTCCACTTCCCATCCAGCTCCCTGCTTGTGGCCTGGGAAAGCAGTCGAGAACAGCCCAAAGCCTTAGGTTCCTGCACCCGTGTGGGAGACCTGGCGGAAGTTCCTGGCTCCTGGCTCTGGATCAGCACAGTACCAGCCGTTGCTGTCACTTGGGGAGTGAATCATTGGACGGAAGATCTTCTTCCTCTCTGTCTCTCCTCCTCTTTGTATGCCTGCCTTTCCAATAAAAATAAAGCAAATCTTTAAAAAACAAAAACAAATTGACCTGATTATAAGATATTTCTTATTTACCCCTTCCCTTTAGTACCATTACAACCAACAGAATGATTCTACCCTGTATCTCTGGAAAGAAGCAAATGTAATACTTCCCACTGCACTGGTAGAAAACTCATCTTTTAGGAGCACTTTATTTAAGTGGGCAGGGTATGTGCCATGTCTTCAGATTCTCCACAATTCTAGAACTGTGTAGCCTGTAGCTTTTAGCCCTTTCCCTGAGTAAAAAATTTTTATGCTAATGTATATCAGTCCAGAAGGTCTGTCCTATTCCTTTCCTAAAAACTGTAATTCACCCATTTTATATCTTCTGTATAAAGTATTGTATATGGTAGTGCTCACTAAATGTCTGATTGAATGGGAATCAGAATTAATAAGAAACAGACTCAGGGCTGTCCTTCTAAATAGGTGGGAGACTTGGATAGTAATATGTATAAGGGAACTTCAAAATTTGTGTGGAAAATGAAAAAAAAATTACTTATCTGAGGAAGAGAGAGAGAGAGAGTGACCAAGTTACCATATGCTACTTCCCTGATTCCTGAAAGTGGTGCTAGGCTGACCTGAAGCTAAGAATCGAATCCGGGTCTATCCATGGATGAACGCAGCCTAGCCCACTTGTGCTATCACTGTTGCTTCTCAGGATCTGCATTAACAGGAAACTGGAGTCAGGAGTCGGAGCTGGGAATCAAACTCAGGTGCTCTGATATGAGATACTGGCCTCTTAATCCCTAGGTTGAACACCTCCTCCCCATGTTATCTTTTTTTATTGTATAAAAGATTATTTTAGTTTATTTTTATTGGAAAGGCAGATTTACAGAGAGAAGGAGAGGCAGAGAAGGAAAGATTTTCCATGCACTGATTTACTCCCCAAATGGCCACAGTGGCCAGAGCTGAGCCAATATGGTTAGGAGCTCTTCTGAGTGTCCCACGTAAATGCAGGGTTCCAAGGACCTGGGTCGTCCTCTGTTGCCTTCTGTGGCCACAGGCAAGGAGCTGGACTGGAAGTGGATCAGCTGGGACTAGAACCAGTGCCCACATGGGATGTCTCTGCTTGAAGGTGGAAGACCAGCCTGTTGAACCATGGGCTACTTCCTTTCTGCCCCCCACCCCCCACACCAATTATCTTTTTTTTTTTTTTTAAAGACTTATTTTTCTTGGAAAGGCAGATTTACAGAGTGAAAGAGAAACAGAGAGAAGGATCTTCCATTCATTGGTTCACTCCCCAAATTGGCTCAGTGACCAGAGCTGAGCCAATCCAAAGTCTCTGGGTCTCCCACACGTGTTCAGGATCCCACAGCTTTGCACCATCTTTCACTGCTTTCCTAGGCCACCATCAGGGAGCTGGATTGGAAGTGGAGCAGCTGGGCCATGAACTAGCACCTATATAGGATCCTGGTATTTAAAAGGCAGAGGATTAGCCAATAGAACCATTGCATTGTCCCTTACTCACTTTATCTTTTAAGACTATTTCCTATGAACTTTATGAAGCACCTTTGTATGCTTTAATTACTTGGTAAGCTCTCATGCTGCAGAAATGTTTTCTTTAGTTCGTCATGATGCCTAGACTTCTGTTAGGCATATACCTTCACATCTTGACAATGTTTTGATTTCCAAAAGTCTCCAATTAAAAGAAGCTGACTTCAGCGTTCTGACAGTATCCTAGTCCTTATCTCCCATTAAATTTCAAGGGTGAATACCAGATGAAGGGCATAGCCAGTTGTCCTGCAGGATGTCAAGGAGAAGGCTGAATAGCCTGGATATCCAGGAGAGGGAAGGCCTAGAGATGGGCTCTGAAAGAGCATCCTGTGCAGGGAAGGAGATGTAAATCTAGGCAGGTGCAGGAACCAATCAAGGGGGGCATCAGACATCCCTGCTGCGAGTTCCACAGGTGGCCTGAGCATCACTGACCCTCTTTATAGGTTTATTTTTCAGGAAAAAACCAGTCGTGTCCTAACTGGGTTTTCCAGACCTTGATTATAAGTCTGACAGCAGTAATGGCCTTTTGGTAAGAAAAACTTCAATGTTGTGCTGTACCAAACTCTTTTATTTTTCTTCTCATCTCTTTGTCCCCTTACTTCGGAGCTGGAACCCGTTTTCTATTTTACTGTGATGACAAGAAGCCCTGTAAACCAGGCACTGACCTCTGGCAGCTTGGGACTGAGGAAGGCCTTCTAAAACTTACATTCTGAAGAAAAAGCACAGAATTTCTGCACTTGAGTGGGAGATAAAGGGTGATTTTTTTAGTCAACTTTGGTGTCTTAGTGGTACCAATATCTTCCTTGTGTGCATGCATGCATGCATATGGTAATGGTGGCACTGTGTGTGTGTGCTTGGTAACTTCTCAAATAACTTTCTTACAGTCTTTGTTTTCATTCCTTCCTGTTTGGGGGGTGGCGGTGTGGGAGGTGAGAATGTGAAATCAGATACAATCCACTCCCTCTGGTCACTCATATTTTAATTGTAATTCTTACAGATTCATAAGTGGATTTGCACCAAAGGGTCACCAAAACTTGCAATATGAAAATGTAGCCAAATCTGCTAGACAGTTAAACAAAGCAAATGCACTGTTGACACCCATATCTGTCTGGCCACCTGTGCCCACTTGGTATCCTCTGCACTGAGTATCTCTCTCTGTTGGGAGCCCTACCCTCTCATCCCCCTGAGTGTGCTTGCCTTCTCTGGCTGAGATCCTTACATCAAGCAAGGAGGATGTGCTTAGCACAGATTCCCAGCCCATGGGAGGGATCTAGACGTCTGACGCTAAGGTAGGGATTGTTTTCTAAACATGCTTCTCAGATCTTAGATTACAATGCTGGTGTCCATTAAGGCCACCAGCAGGAGGCCTGAGGCTTAATAGCTTGTTTCTGGCCTGCGGTATACCTGAGAGGGAAGCAAACCAGGGCTTATCCCTCAAGAAGAGAGCAGATAACTGATTCTGCATTCCTGCCACGTTCTCTGAGCTATGCATTGAGGCAGACACCAGGGATGAATACGATGGAGAATTTAAGAATTAGTCACACAGAGCTGGGGAGAAAGAGACTGAACCTCAGCAATCACCACGGTGACTCTTTCCATTCTGTCACATGGCGTCTTTGAAACTCACACCACTTCCCCAGGTAGAACTGAGCCTGCCGCCAGTCACCAGCTGCTGCTGAGAACACATCAGGAGTTCATTCTTTGCAAGTGGCATTCAAACACATGGCAAATTTCCTTGTCCACAAGTGGCAAGATCTTCCAAAAGTTCTGGAAAATGCATATTATGAAAATATTATGCATGAATTTGATGTGGGTGTGTTTTTTGGCACCAAAATTAACTTATCCCTTAATTCCATTTCCCATCAATATTCTGAAGTTACCTAGGACACGGTCAATGCACTACTTCTGATGGGATTAAAATCAGGAATCCCATTTGGAGGCCCAGGTGTGAAATCCAGCAGGCAAAGACATCTTAGCATTGCCTCAAGTCCAGCACCCACTGGGACTATACAGTCCTCAGTAGACTTTCTGGACAACTCTGCTGTCGCACTTTACATAGTGCCAAAGAGAGTAAGTGCGTGGATGTGAGAGCATGATTCTGGAGAGCTTCGCAGAGCTGAGGACCCTGAGCACTGGGACTGGAGGGGGCAGGGAGACACTGCCATGCCTCGCCTTGCCTTGCCTTCCCCTACCCAATTTTGTGTCTTTTGTTCTGAAAAGACAGGTTTGGCATCCACAGCTAGTAGACCCAAGCAGCCTTTCATTGTGCAGGCGACCTTCCCCAGCAGGCTGTGAGCCCTGCCCTGACTCTTTCCTGCAAGCAGTAGAGGACTGCCTCCAGCTGTGTACATGCTTGCTCTTGGAATCTTCCACTACTGACAGCTGCTTCTGTCTGAGACAGCTGGCCAGGGCTGGAGGTGCCCCAAGGCAAAATAAACAAATAGATAAATAAATCCACCAGCGTGCATCTCCAGGGCTCCGGGAAGCTGAGGCCTTTTTCTCACCAAGGCAGGAATGCCTGCCTATGCTGGTTTCCCTGGTGTTTCTCTCAGCTCTGGCCACTCCTCCCCTCTTTTCCCATCTGTATGGCCTGAGAGCATCCATCTTGGACCAGCTGGATGTAGGAGATCTGGAGACTCATGTGCCATGTGACACTTTTCTTTCTTTTTCCCCAACAGTGCCTTGACAATAGTCTGCCTTTACATACTTAGCTTAAAAGACCAAGACCGACAGGGCACAAATCTCCCTACCAGGTGAGACATATTCCTAGGGGGTGAGGGACTCTGGAAGTCGGCTTGCATGACTCTCTGTGTTCCCTTCCTAGCAACATCACAAGTTCTCGGGAGCCGGCTTTGCTGTCCACAACCTCCCCTGAAGGTAAGGCCTTCCCATCTTCACTCTTGAACTTGTCAGTGTCTCCTGGGAGCTGTCAGTGTGAGGCTCTGTCAACAGGAGAAACCAGCTTTTCAGGTTCACCCTGTGGCCTCTCTTCCTTTCTGTCCAATGCCTCACAGCACCTCACACTGCCCTGGCAACAACACAGACCTACTTGCCAGTACCTGAGATCACTTTCTGTGAGATCCTGCCCTGCCAGGAGACCAACTGCTGCCCCATCTGGAGCGTGAGAAGAGTCTCTCCGAGTCCTTTACAAAGCCAGACCACAGAGACTGAGAACCATCGCAGCCAGCGGGCAGGTAAATGATGGGCAAAGGCAGACATGAGGCCTTTGAACTTAGGGCTTTTTCCCTTGTCAGCATTTACTTGGATCATATTAGTACCTCCATACTTCTACTTAGGGTGGCAAAATCTTCAACTACACATACACACTAATCGTGATTTATTTATCATATTGAGTTCCTTCCCCAGGGAGAATATTTTGCTTGGTTCAAGTCTTTATGATTTCCACTGAGAAATTCCACTTTTGCCAAGAAAGATAGTAATAGCATCAGTGAAGTAATCATGGGCATGTGGGTTGATTTTTTTTTGACTCATTTTGAACTGAAGAAATGACGTGGTGTCTGGGCTCTCCACCCAAAGCAACTAGGATGCTGTATAAAAGTCTTGGGGAATTCTAATTAGAGCACAGGATGAAACCTACAAGACTGACATTTCTTCTCTCTTCCTTCTAGGGGCATGCACACGTACACACATACACACACACGTAATGCATGTGTAATTTTTTCAAGTAACAATGGTCACATTTAAAAAGCTATAGCAACTTAATAAGGGCTACAAATGAAACTATCTCTGATCAATTAGGATTCTCCCACATGTGTAATAATTTGTGCCGTTTCAAAATTTTCTCCTATACACATATATTAATGTGTTTCTAAAATAATAGATAATAATTACAGTGTTTATAAGTGTGGCTGCACTACATAGCAACTCCTAGTAATAGTGATTTTATATGGCAAAAATTTTGTTCCTAACTGTATCAGTATCAAATCTAAATCACAATTGCATCATTGTCATTCACTGCTCACTTGGTGGAGACTCCACCTGAATACATGATTCCATTATCTTGTAATGATATGAGAACAAGACACACTGCACCAGCTCTTAAAATTTCCACCTAGGCATAACGTACCTTTCACACTGCCAGATTTGCATGTAGCCATCCAGATGTCCCCAATGTGGGAAATTGCTGAGGGTTTGAGCAAAGGTTCTCTGTGCTGCAATTGGTCTAGTTTTCCTTCTTCCCAGGACACCATGCAATACTGGAACTCCTGAATACAAAAGGGGAAAACCAGGGAACTCTTACTTCAACCAGATGTTTCTAAGGCATTGAAGACCAACTGAAACTGAAAGAATAAACAGAAAAGAGAAATGCTAGGGTAAAGAAAAGCTTAGGAAGATTCTCAATGGGAAGCAGAATAATATCTAGCAATTTAATAAATCCCAAAACACATTGATGAACCTCCTCTCTGAGGAGTAGGACTACAATAAAACAGTAGAGCTGAAATCAGCATTTTTATGACATACTAAGCTCAAGTCATTATTTGTCTTTGGAGGCTAAGCTGGTTATGTTAGCTTTTATAAAGTGTCTTTCATAAAAGTTATTCCTCTCTTCCCTTCACGTAATAAAAGTTTGGACACAACTAATGAGAGTGTGAAAAGTATTTTGGAATATTGAACTTGTAAGGAGCTCCTGTATGTGATGGATTGGGTTTTCATCTAAGAGACCAATAAGGGTTTGACAAGAGAGGTGGATATTAAAAAAGCAAAGAACATGATTGGGAGGATGTGGATTTCTGTGTAATCCTATGGATTATAAAGTTATGATTTTTACAGAATATCACAAAGAGCATCTGGAATTCATGCTCGTTCTGTTTTGGAGATCAGAGCTTAGAGAAGAGCAAAGGGAAATGATTTCCAGAGTTAAAGGATTCGTTGATTGATTGGGGGCCTCACTGACTTCTTGGCATGAATCTGGTTCAGTCCATGGAATGATATCCGTGATGCTGTCCTGGGACTCAGCCGTCTACCTAGCTTTATATGTAATTCAATATACACCTTCAACCACGCCAGATCTACTTTGGTGACATGCCATCTGAACTGTTTCCTCCAGAGGTTTCCAGTTTAGTTTATTGGGAGGTCTTATCTGCCAACTGTGAAATACATCTCCAACTTTACAGCAAAAATCAGCAGGCACGCATACCAAGCTTATAGTGAATATTTTTGGAAGACATTTATAAAATGAGGGCTACCCCTGTATGACTAATGCAGGATTTATGCTTTTCCAACAATCAGCCATTCCAAGTTGAAGAGTGTTGCTTCAAAGATGTTACAAATTGGCAGTATTTTGTAAGGAGATTTCAATTTTATTTTTCTGCTTTTGAAAAGTATTTTCATGGTTCCAGTCCCAAAATTATTTCTTCTTAGCCTGATCTTTCTGTTACTGTCTTAGAAAATACTTTATCCCAGTAGGCTCAGTTTTGCAGGATTCTATATCTCTGGGAACCTGAGAACATAGTTCTGTGGAAAGAAGACAAATCTGTACTTCTCTGGCTAGGGCGTATTATGCTGGGCCCTTTCCCTGCATATTCAGCAGGAAAATAGAACAAAAGAATAGGCAAAGAAAATAGGTAGAGTGGAAAAGCCACAGTTTCTATTCTTTATGCTTTATTTGCTTTTTAAACTTACAACCTTATGTGGGAACAGTAAGCAAAATTCAGTAAGAGGAGGGTATTTGAACATTATTACTGGATTAGCTAGAATCCAACAACTCTAGAAACCTTTTTGGGTAACACTTTTTTATATATTACAAAGTCAGCCCTACCTTTGGGTTCTGCCCCCCTCCTATTTGATAAAGGAGCTCACTTCTCATAAATATTCTCCAGTTTCCTCAATTTCCTCTTCTCCATTTCCTCAGAATTTTCCCTGTGAATATAGAAGAAATATTTTTTGGAGGTTCAGCAATTGATGTTTCTTCTCTTCTTTCCTCTTTCCCTGGTTCTCTTCCCTCCATCCTTTTGCAAATGTTTATTGAACACCTACAGGTGAGCTTGGCACTGTCCTATCAGGGGGTACAAGAGAGAACAAGCTGCAGACTGTCCACGAGCTGACAATCTGATGGGCAGACAAGTGAACCAACTTCTCTACCTATTGAAAGGGGGAGGAAGGACTAACCAGCACAGAGATGCCCAGGAGAGTGATGGGACTCAAGTACTGTACACTATTGGTTTTTCTTTCTTTCCCAGAATTTGGCAGGGAAAGTTGAACGTGGATCTAAATCTACAAATATGGTAAAACATGACTGCCAACAGTTTATAAACTTCTGTTAATTTTTTTTTTTTGCAACCCACTCAATGGTTGATTTCACTATCTGCTTTTTAAAGGAGACCTATTTTTTTCCATAGTTGTAATAACAATGATCTGAGTGATAACTTTTTTCAAAGTTGCTTGCAAAATGCCATTTAGGATACAGTAAGTGGGCCAGCCCTTCGGTGACTCTGGCCTCAACGGGGAGCTCATTGCTGTCTTCACCTGGCTGCAGCTTCGTTCTCACCCTAGGCTTGAAACAGGCTTTCCCCCTCTTCCCCCGACCATGCCCCATGTGCAGCATAGGAAAATTGCTGACACCGGAATCAGATTATTTGGACCGGAACTACTCCTCTTCATAATGACCCCACAGTGCCTCTCTTAGGTTACCTTTCAAGCAAGGAAAACCTTCCTAAGTAGTATGTGATAATGCATAAAAAGTTGAGTTATTGTAATTACCCTTCAAGGCAAAAATACGTAAATTCTATAGGATTTTCTGCAACGGAGAATGGTCTCTGACCTAGTGGTCGGCATTCCAGAGTGCCTGGATTCAACTCCCAGCTCTGACTTCTGACTCAAGCATTGATGCAGACCCTGGGAGGCAGCAGGTGGTGACACAAGCAGTCAGGACCCCGCCATCTACATGGCAGACATGGACTGAGCTCCTGGCTCTTGGCGCTGGCCTTAACTCTGCCATGGCTGTTGTGGGCATTTGAGGATTGAGCCAGTTGGAAGCTCTGTCTCTCTGCTTCTCAATTATTTTTTAATAGGAAAGAATTTTTCCAGGGCAGGTATTATGGCACAGTGACTTAAACTGCTACTTGGGATGCCTGTATCCCATATTGGAGTGATAATTCAAAACTCAACTACTGCTTGCTTCTGATGTTTCTTGCTGTTAATACATCTTGGTGGCAGCAGATGATAGTCTAAGGACATGAGTCCCTGACATGTACCTGGGACACATGATGGAGTTCTTGGCTCCTGGCTTCAGCCCAGTCCAGTCCCAAGCATTTGTAAGTATTCGAAGAATGAACCAGTGAATGGAGGACCTCTCTCTCTCTCCCTCGCTCTCTCTCTGCTTGTCTATGCTTCCTTCTCTGCCACTATGCCTTCCAGATAATAAATACATCTTTATATGTGTATGTGTGTATAATTTTTAAAAGAATTTTCTCTAGCTTTTGATATTCAGGTATTAAGTAATTAGGAAAGCGCAATCAATTTGTAAGTTGTACTTATCTTTAGAGACCCCAAACTCCATTTGTGTAGAGAAGGTTAGCATTTTATGATTCTACTGTTACTCTTTTTCTTCATTTTTACCTTCTCTTTTCACTGCCCTTGAACTATACATTTCATCTGAACAGGATATTTTATCTGGCATAGAGACCACAGAAGTAGAAAGGGTTGAAAAACTAATGGGGTCCAATATCCACTCAGCTATAGGCTCTGGGTTGAACCCTAAAGGGACTAAACCGAAGAATTCCTTCTCTTGCTTTCCTCTTGAGTCTCCTGGAACACATCAGAAATCAGATTCCAGACATACCTGCTATTGTTTTCTTTCTCCTTCCTGCTTTCCTGCTTTTAATGGTCTTTGTTTTCACCTAGAAAAGACAATAGGGTTCGTGGATATGCCTTGCTGCTCAGCCACCTGGACTGGGCAGAATAATTTTCTCCAGGTGTTACACTCACTCAAGAGATAGAATGTTCACCAAAGGGGGAGCCAGGAGAAGACAAATGCTCGCTCAATAAAAACACATTCAGAACCACCTGACAAAGGAGGGAATGGTTCTCTCTAAGTCAATGAGCCACTTGGCAGTGGAGGTATTCAACAGAGATTCCTTGATGACATACTTACATTTTGTAATACAAGCATGTGTAGTCTCCAGATAGTACTAATAGGGTGCACAGAAAAGAACCCATGTGATCTAAATCTGATGATTTTGATGAAGAGTAGCTACTAATTAGAAAGACAAATGGTTTCCTAATATGAACAACATATTATGCCAAGGATTTTGAAGAATTCACAATGTTAATGAAGGTTCCCTACCTCCAAGCTGTCAAGAAAGAGCAAAACTATGTCAAAAAAAAAAAAAAGCTAAGTAATGATCCAGAGATTATATGCCCTTCCATGGAGTGACACTTTTGGGTTGATGGCCATGTAAGGTACTTCAACAATAAATGCTATGGCTCTGGAAAGGTAGGCACTGGGAGCAGCAGGACCTAATTGTGCGTGATAGCTTGGTTTGTTTGGACTGGCATCACAGAATTCCTGAAGTGGCTTAAACAACAGATAATATTGTCTCTGTTATGGGGGCTGAAGTCCAAGATCAAAGTGTTAGAAGACCTGGTTTGTTCCAAAGCCTCTCTCCTGAGCCTGCAGATGGTACCTTATCTCTGTGTGCTTTCCTGATGTCTTTCCTCCATGCTGTGCCCCTAGTGTCTCTCTACAAGGACACACGATTACATGAGGGGCCACTCTCATGACCTCCTGTTAATTACCTCTTTAAGGTCCTGCCTCTAAATGCAGTCACACTCTGAAGTAGTGGGGGTTAGGACCGCAACACTGAAATTAGGAGGGTATACGGTTAAGTCCATAACAAATAGAGAAGGGTAAGAAAAAACCAGATGAGCAAGACATGGGTTAGAGACCTGAGGGGTTGATAGAAAGGGAAAAAAAAGGGTGGAGAGACATACAGCTGACCTAGATAAACTGAGGCCCACATGGGATTTCCTCTCGTCTCCCCCTGAACAAGGCTTCAAGACTCATGGCCCTTTTTTTCTTCCTTAGAAGACACAAGCAAATCATTCTTGCAAAGAGATGTACTCACCAGAGCTCGCTGGGGAAGTGACTGTAAGTTGACATTTAAGTGACATTCTTTTCTGGCTCTGCAGGGCCAGACGGCCGTTACAAGCTGGAAAGGCATTCCAGGAGTGAGGAGCAAAGACGAAGGCACACCCTGCCTGCCACCTACACCCAGGGATTGCATTTTTACAATGGGTGCCATCCCCAAAATGTAGGAGGCCTAAGACGTGGTTACTGCCTAGCAGAAGTGTGATAGTTGAGCTCTGTGGATTTTAATAGTGCCTTTGAATTTCCTGCCCCCCCATTCTGACTATATTTTCAATTTGTTTTCTTTTTTGAAACAAATTGCTTTTCAAATTGCCTGCTCCGTTTCAGTACATTTCAATTTTGTAGGATTTTTTTAGCTCCAAAATTTCTTTTGGATATTGCAAGGACAGTTTATTGGAGCCTGGATTTTTATTAAATTTTACCATTACCCACCCCTCCCAAATCCCTTCCCCTCTCTTTGCCTTTGTTTTTCTACGTGAATGCAAATGAAATCTGCTTATGTGGGAAAACTCATTTCACACTATGCAATTTAGGGGGCGGCGCTAGAATGTTAACACCTTGTCCCTGTAGAAGAGTTTACTTTCTTCCATTTCTTCACAATTCAGGGATTGATACAACCATCAGTTCTATTCAGATTATGGAAATCCAGCAAATAATAGATCACCGGTATTGCAGTGGAAGCCTCCAGTGTAGGTGGGTAAGCCTACTCTTTATGTCCTAGTTGTTTCTGGAATTTACCCAGGGCTCTGGCTTTTTGAAACTGGAATGGATGCTAAAATGACATGGTGAAATCAGTACATGCTTACATTGCTCCTTAAGTGAAAATATATTTGTTGTTCAGTGGACAAAGAGATCATAAAACAATTGGTACTAGCAAATGTCAACAAAGCACAGCCCCGTTGACTCTAGTAGTTTGGTTTAATGAGAAAGTCCAAAGCAGAAAGCCCAGGGAGCAGCTTTGTGGGTGACTCTTGGGGGGTGGGGCACAGTACTATTAGGCCCAGAGCTGCTGGCAGACTCTGTGGATTAAAAAAAAAGACAGTGTTACTGATGGCTCCAGGTGATGAGTGAACTCATATTTGCACATTCTAATAGAAGACATGTCATTATTTTAACTTCTAAAGAAAATATCTTATCTTAGCTCTTCTTAGGGGAGCAAAGAATTCAGAGATTGCAAAAGCTGTCAGCCACATCCACTGTATGGAGATCGTGCTATACATGGCGAAGCAAGAGTGCAGGTTGCTCCAGCAAACACCATATGCAAGGTGTAGGCGTGGAGAACGAGGAGCTATTTTTCTTGGCTAGGTTAAATGCCAGGCCAGTATTTGAAACTGAAGTGATGAATCTTGTGAGCTTTTAAGTTTTTTTTTTCCTTTTCAACTCAATGTAATTTAGGCTTTCAATGGAATGTCTGGAGTTGCAAGAATAACCTATGTTCTGTCTTCTGGTTTGTGGGTGACCCTGTTTCCTTATTGAATTCTCACAAACTCCCTGTGAGGTTAGTCTTGCTTATCTTCAACTGATGGTTGAGTTTCAGTAACCTGGAAAAGGCTCGCAGAGGCTCACCCATCTGGTGTGTGTCAGCACAGATCTGCACTCCTATGGTGAGATGGCACTGGGACCAGGAGTCAGACGTTTTAGGTTCAGTTTCTGGAGCTCCTGCTTGCATATCCACTTCTCACCTATATAAGAGGAGGCTGCCAAGTTGGGTTGTTGCAGAACTGACTGATATTGGGAGAAACATAATAAAAACTGAATCCCATGGGATCCAGTATTCCCAATCTCAGTGCAGATATTTCTGATTTTTAAAAATAAATTCCTTACTGAAATAGCACTGTTCTCTACTTGATACAAAGGTAGTGCAGTTTTTTCAGTTTTGTTTGGATACACATGCAAAAGTTAACGTATGGAGTACAATGGGATGTTTTGCTTTCTTACATTTGTGTGTTGTAAAAGGCTGTATCTTTCCATTTCCTTTATTTTTACTTTTAACTTACAAACTAAGAGACAAAACCAAAGTGAGATTGTCCATGCATTGATTTACTCCCTAAATGCCTGCAGCCTACAGGGTTGGGCTAGCTGAACCCAGAAGACTAAAACTCAATCTGGATCTCTTGTATGGGTGGTAGGGACCCCAAAGCCTGCTGTCTCCCAGGGTGTGCATCACTGGAAAGATGAAATCAGAAGAGGTTCAGGACTTGCACCCCAGCACATCAATACAGGTCACAGGCATCCCCAAACACGTCTTAACCCTGAGTCAAACACCTGCTGCATACTTCCACATTTGAACAGCTCAGTGCAATATTATTTAAAGAGAATCTAAAACCACTGGTTCCTTTTCCACTTATTTGATTTATTTAAGTCATTATTCCATGTAATTCCAAATAAGAGATGACAGATCATAGGGAAACTTGTATTAGATACATTTTGCAGTTTTGCTGGTTTTTCAGTATAATACAAGTCACAGGAACTTTCCTTTTCCCCAGTTGCAAGCATTTTTATCTTGTAATTTTCTCCATTACTAAATGGTAACTAGGATTATAATAATTTTAGTAGACTTGGATTCTAAAAGTGTGTGATATATGGTGTTAATGTTGCTTAAAAGGAGTGATTTATGACGGAGGAACTGGCATTTATTATTTCCAATCCTTATTTCCAGGGAGATTGTTACTTTGAAACCTTTGCCTCATTTATCTTCTGAAAGTTGTTATCTCCTTAGGAAGGCCTGAAGTCACTTCCTGTGTGTTGAGCTTTGTGTGTTTGATCTGGGGTTTAACGCTCCATCATTTTTTTCTGCACATTCTAAAGCCCCACAGCTCTTTGTTGTATGTTTGCTGTGAATACCTGAAAGATTGCCCTGAAATTTAACACATATATCTCTGAAATGCGTAACATGGTAGCAGATAAAACTCAATCTTTCACATTTATTGTGTATTAAACAGTATTTCGTAGCTTACATCATGTGTAAAGATGGCAAACTAGCCTTTTGAAACTTTTACTGCTTACTTTGATTTGTGCTTTTATTTTTTTTCTGTAAATTAGGCCTGGAAATTATAATTACAATATTCCTGTTAATAAGAAGACACCAACTAATGTCAAATTCTCCCTGGAAATCAAGTAAGTGTGTGGTGATAGTAAAAACTCTACTTTTATCATCAACTTTTTAAAGTTAGAAAATATAAACTTGTTCTCAGTTGATTCCAGAAACAGGAGTCATATTCAGTGTTCTCAGAGGAGACGTGAAGATGACTTAACAATTCCGCTGTCGCTAAATTAGTTTTGCAGTTTGGAATATGGGACCATTTATATTATTAACTACAAGTCTCAGTGTATTTCACATTTTGATCAACAATTTAGAAGGCAGGAAGCTGCAGATGTTAACTTGCACTGATAGGCTCTATTGCTTAATAAACTGATGACTCAATCAGTGCATTGATCCACATTAACTAATGACAGGCTGAGTTCTGGCCTCATTGAGGAAGGATCCCAAGGTGAGACTGGCATCACTCAGGTGCTCCCTGGGAACTGGCAAGGTTCTCAGTTTTACACTTGCACCTGCTGAATGGGATGGGACCAATGGTAATAATGTGGCCCCTAGAAGAGGGGCTGTACAGCCTGGGGAACTGGTGACAATGGAAAGCAGACTCCACAATTTTCCCCAGGGAAGAGAGAGAGACTACTAGGAGTCAGTCTTTGCAGGTGCATTGGCCAGGGTTTTCTGATTCTGTGTCTCCAAGCCATCATTTCTCTACTATGCAATGAATGTTAGATCAGGTCCCAGCATCCAGAGCTGCTGAGGGATGGCTGTTAGCACTGGTGAAACCACTGCTGGCTCTTTGCTGAACACCAAAAGCCCATCAGATACTTACCTTCCGCAGTGGGCCCTAATCACCTGCACCACAACCCACCTGGGGTGCGTGCGTGTCATGCATGTTTTACTTTTTACTTTTCGGACAGGGCCGTTTGGGTATAGAGTGATCCGTAACTATGTTCTGATACTCATAGCTGATCAGTAGCTGAGCCGAGGGGCAAACCTAGCTCATCCTTTATCTGTTTGTAAGGACAGTGCTCGTTCCTGCACAGAACAGACACTCGGCAAACGGTCATCTTTATGATGACCACCTTTCCTCCAAAGCTGCAAGTCTGATTTTACCTATTGTTATCAGACATGGCAGATCATTTCAGTGCTATCAGACTTTCCACCCACTTCATTAAAAGTTATGCAGTGAGCGAGTTGTCTTGAAGATGCAGGAGTTATTTCACATCTCTGGATTTCAGTTCTCCTGCTTTCCTTCTTCACACTTCATCTTTCCTCCCCTTTCTTTTCTGTCTTCTGCCTCCGCTGCCATTATTCACAACCTGCATCTCTTCCTCTGAATTCTCCAGGTTTCATCTTCATCCTCCCATCAGCTTTGCTTCTGCCAAGCCTTGCGGAGGCTTGTTTAATGAGCTGATGTTGGGGATTCAGCATCCACAGGTTAGCATACTGTACCTTCCCCTTACCCTCCTTGAGGAACCTGGTTTTCTGTATTTCCGTATTCATTTCCGGCTCTTCTTGGAAGGAAGGGACTTTACATACAATGTTTGCCGAAGAAGCCAGAGATCCTATGAGCCACTTCAGTCAGGCCTTTGGGTTTGCAAACTGTTTCTGACATGAGTGACTTTAAAATAACACACACTGTACACTTCTTATGTACGGTTTCACTTTCCATAGCTCTATTACCCGTGAACAAGCATTATCTGAAAACATTAAATGGAAGTTTCCGGAAGTAAAGTTCATAACTTTTATAATAGTATATTAGAGTTGTTCTATTTTATTGTTAGTTGTTACTGTTAATCTGTTCTGCTGCCTAATTGAGAAAGTAAACTTTATTGGGCCTGGCACGGTGGCGCAAGTGGTTAAGTCCTCGCCTTGCACACCCGGGATCCCATATGGGCGCCGATTCTAATCCCGGCAGCCCCGCTTCCCTTCCAGCACCCTGCCTGTGGCCCGGAAAGTAAACTTTATTATAGGTATGAATGTGCAAGTATACAGCCTACGCAGGATACAGTAGTATCCAGAATTTGGGCCATCTGCTGTTGGTGTTAGACAAGGGATGGCTGCCATACACTGAGCTGAGATTGTAGGTCACCTCCATCACACAGAAGGTTTCCAAACTCAGATGGGTATCATCTACTTGATAATGACAAGTGAGTCAACTGCCAGAGAATAGCCATCCTTTCTTGCGGGCCTTCCATTGTGATAGTTTTAAAAGCACCCAAGCCCTCTCTGTGTTTGTTTGCTTTGCTGTTTCAAACAGCATCTACTCAAGCCAGAGTAGTTACAGAATCTAAAATCCTGGAAATGCTGCAAAGTGCAAATTCAGCTGCCAGTGTAAGAGAAGGAATATCTCACATGCAGACATTGTAAAAATCTTTGGAAATGGGAAGCTCTGATGTGAGGTGTTTTAAGTCATGACATGAACGTATGATGGCATGTTCAGCTGCAGTTGAGTTCCTCTCTAACAACATGGGAGCCAGCCTGTGGGCACACGGAGCTTCCTGTAAGAAAGTGTAAGAGAGTGCCTCCCTTCAAGGAGACTTGCAAGCTATGTTCCCATCAGCCCTCTTGCTGTCAGGTGCAGTCCAGGAGGAACTGGAAACTCCTTTCCCATCTGCCCTTTCTTTTGTCTCCCAAAGCACAACGGAGCCACTGATAGTCTTCCAATGCAAATTCGCCCTTGGAAATATATGTTTTCGTAGTAAAATGGAAACCACAGCGATCCAAAGCTACGAAGTTTCCCAGGAGATGACACAGGTAATGCCTTCCTTTCTAGTACAAACGTGTAGAGTTGTGGCTTCTGTCCCCTACTATGGAAGGGATGCGTTGGGCCAAATGCCAGTGTTTCTCTTTGCTAGCTCACCCCAATCACAGGGCTTGACTCAGCATCTTGTGACCTTAAGGAACCGTGGAACCTGCTAGTGACACCTAGCAAAAGCTGTGATCACAGAATCCTCTCCTGCAGATGCCTAGGAAATGTGTCTTCCAGCCTATGCTCTATCCAAGGGAGTGTAGAATATGGTGATGAAATGGATATCTTTCATTCCTTGTTTAGGGGTATCAGCATATTTGGAGCCTCCCTGTGGCTCCATTCTCTGACAGCACTTACCATTTTCGCGTAGCGGCACCAGTAAGTGTGATTTTGTTTTCTTTATTTACTTTAAAAATTTTTATGTATTCCTTTTAATTTTCATTTTAAAGGCAGGAAGGGAGGGAGGGGGAAATAGAGGGAAGGAGACAGAAAGGTTTCTAAATATAAGCATCTAAAACACATATTTATATCTGGGTATAAATATCTAAAATAGCCAATATTGGGTGGAGCTTAAGCCAGGAGCCAGAAGGTTGCCTTAAGTCTCCCTCCATGGGTGGCAGTGACTCAGGTGGCTGGGCTGTCAGTGTTGCGTCCTAGCATGCACATAGCATGAAGCTAGGTCCGAAGCAGCGCAGCCAGGGCTGCACCAGGCACGCTGATAAAGGATACAGGTTTCCCAAGTTTCAACTTGAGCCCTTGTAATGAAGGCCCATCCCTCTTTTTTTTTTTAATAGTAAGAGAATAAATGAATGAATGTTTCTATGTATAAAAGAAGCAGTTGAACTACACTTATGTCTTCTATTGATGTTCTCACTTTTCTCCTGTCTTGGCAGGACTTAGCTGACTGTTCCACAGACCCTTATTTTGCTGGAATATTCTTCACAGATTACTTCTTTTACTTCTATCGACATTGTGCTTAATTTATTCAAATCTGAGGACTTTGCCCAACTAAAAGACTCATAACACAGTTCACGGAAACTCATATCCAGTCACAACTTTTTTTTCTTGTTTTTTGGAAAAACAGTCAAATTCATTACTGGAAGAACTTTAACAAGCTTTGGCTTCCTTCTGTTTGGAGACGCTCATGAAGAGAATAAAGTATTTGCTGGAACTTGAGATAATGTGGTGTTTGACTTTGTCGGGATTATGAAGAAAGCATGGCCTGCGGTAAACAGCCCGTAGGATCTGAGATCCTGCTGTTTGTGTTAAGGAAGCTGTAAGCCCAAGCTAAGCTCTGCACTGACTTAATCTATTTATTAAGACATTAAAAGGTCATGTCAGTTGGGATCCAGTCAGTGCAAACTTCTGAAAATGTGTGATTTAGTGTGTGTGGAGGGCGAAGGTCAGTACGGTCTGTCTGATGGTGTGCGTACAGTAAGACAAGGTGTGTGTGTGTGTGTGTGTGTGTGTGTGTGTGGTAGAATGCATATTGCTCACAAAGTAGATTTAAGACTAATTGTTGCAGCTGCTTTCTTGTATTGGATGGGTTCTAACCTTTCTGAAAAGGAAGGCTGTGCTTTCGTGTAAAGATGGAAGCCTTGGCGCACCAGAGCCCACTGAAACTCCCCACAAGCCACCACAGTCTGTTTACGAGAGTCCCTCAAGCCGACAGAGCAAACTGGATTCAAATGATGAGCTTCCTGAGTACAAAATGTTGAAATTCATGCACTGCTTTTTCTTCGTACACATTCTGTGATTTTTAAAAAAGATTTATTTTTATTGGAAAGTCAGATATACAGAGAGAAGCAAAGACAGAGCGGAAGATCTTCCTTCTGTTGACTCTCTCTCCAAGAGGCTGCAACAGCCGGAGCTGCATTGATTTGAACCCAGGAGCCAGGAACTTCTTCCAAGTCTCCCATATGGGTGCAGGATCCAAAGGCTTTGGGCCGCCCTCGACTGCTTTCCCAGGTCACAGGCAGGCAGCTGGATAGGAAGCAGGGCTACTGGGACTGGAACAGGTACCGATAAGGATTCTGATGCTCTCAAGGCAAGGATTTTCACCATTAGGCTACTGCACCGGGCCCTCTCTGTGATCTTTTAAAAAAAATATTTTATTTATTTCAAAGACAGAGTTACATACAGAACAGAAGGAGAAACAAAGATCAATAGACAGAGTTCACTCCCCCAAAGGGCCTCAACAACCAGAACTGGGGCAGGCTGAAGCTAGGAGCCAGGAACTCTGTCTGGGTCTCTAACACTGTGGCAGGAGCCCAAACACTTGCTCAATCTTGGGTGGCTCTCCCAGACACATTGGCAGGGAACTTCATCACAAGTGGAGCAGTCCAGACTAGAACCTATGTTCCCGTAGGTTATCAGCATCACACATGTCATCTTCATCTGAGTCTTAATCTGTTATTATATCTGCATAGAACAGATTCACTCTGACCCCTCCCTGTGGACTTTTTGAAGACCTCTTGCTCGTTGAGCTGTTCTGCTCATTACTCCCCTTGGACGCCACACTGACGTCTCTTGCTGTAGTCCCTTGCTGACCACAGTCTCCTCGGGTCATCTCCTGCAGCCTGACATGCCAGGGATGCCAGGCAACTGGGAGTAACAAACCATTTTAATGCCTGCATCCCCTGACTTGCTGTCCTTGCTGTCCCTCTCGTTTGCTATTGCCGAGCTGTGTGTGGAGTGTGGAGCACCAAGCTGGTTTCCAGGGAAGGCTGCTGAGTGCAATCTCTTACTGTTCCGCTGTGGCTCAACTGGGCTGAAGCTCTTTGACTTTCCAATACTGATACATCTTCCTGTTTCTGATCTTCAGATGTTATTAATGATGTGTCCTATCAATAGAAATTGATCACAAGACCCCAAAAGTTAAGATTAAAAAAAAAAACTTCTTCTCAACAAAATGCATTTTGAAATAGATTTCTTGTTGCAAGGGTACTTGAGCCCAGTGATCAGGAGCTAAGAATCTGAAGCCAGATGGTTCAGTGCTTCAATTCAAATTCTGACTTACTTTGTGTATCCCAGGGTAGGACCCTAAGCTTCAATTTTCCTATTTATAGAAGATGGTGAGTGTTGACAATACAGAGATTTATATGACATAAACACAGATAAGTTCTAAATAAGTTGAGCTGTTATTATATCTGCATAGAACAGATTCACTTTGAAAAGTTCAGTGAGATTATAGAGGGATAGTCCGTCTCTGCACACATACATTGAGATCATTTTTTTGGCTGCAAAACCATATATAGAACATATGCATGTGTATTACATAATGTTTAAATTTTGCTATATTTGGGAAACTGTTTCCTAACAACTAGCTTTTGCAGAAAATGGAATAAAATGCTGAATTCTTGGGAGGAGTATTTCAAGATTCCTCTATTAGATTCCAACTCAAACTTGAATCTCCTGAGAATCAGCTGTCCTGGTGTGCCTGGGCTCTAGATTCTGAAGCCATCACTTCATTTTTGGATGAAACCCCAAATGCTTGATATGGGAGAGAATCCATGAATTTGACTTTTCTCTTGGTTAAGGCAGGTTTTTCAGCAGCAGAACTATCAGAGTTCCATTGAGTACATAAGAGGAGGGTGTTAAAAGGCTGTTAGAAAATGTGGACTATGTCAAAATCTGAGTGGATTTCAAAAAAGTTTTTGTACTGAAATGAACTTATATTTTACTCCTATCTTCTAATAGAATGTCCTCATAAACCTCATACTCTTACTCATATACTTCTTCTCAGGACAGCATAGGAATTTCAAAATATCCAGACATAACTGAACGACCTGTTATATTGCCTAAGAGGAATTCTGCAAAATAAATTGTGTTTTCTCATTAAGTTTTATTGTAAGCCTAGGCATTTTTTTTTCCCACGGAAAGAAAGCATTTAAGGTAGTGACAGATCTGGGATGGCTTATGGATGCTACTAAGTCTATTGAGAGACAGATTCTTCTGGAAGACTTTGTGTTTGCAGCTCTTTCCTAGCTGTGTGATATCCACTCTGGACCACATGGCTTCAGGCCAAAAGGCTTTTCCTTGTTCCAGAGACTGATTTGACTCTTTACTGGAATATTCTCAAGCTCAAGTAAATGAAAGTGTCTGGAAGACTCTTCCTCCCTCAAACTTAGAACCCTCGTTTAATCAGGAGAAAAACATCAGACCAGCGGAGAGACACTCCACAAAGTACCTGCCTTGTACGCCTCTGAACTGTCAAGGTTATCTCAACCAAGTCAAGTCTGTGAAACTGTCATAGCCAAGAAAAGTTTGAAGAGCCATGTGACTGAATGCTGTGTGGTGCTCTGGATGAACCCTGGAACTGAATAAGCAGATTAGGTAAAAAATAAGGACATTGTAGATTAATTTTTAAAGATTTATTTTATGGAAAGGCAAAGTAACAGCAAGATACAAGGAATATCTTCTAGTCACTAGCTCAATTCTAAGTGCCCATATCCACTGCAGCTGGGCCAGGACAATGCCAGTAACCAGCAACTCTATCTGGATCTTCCACGTGAGGAAAAGTGACCCACGTACTTGAGCCATCATCTACTGCTTCCCAGCATGGATTAGCAGGAAGCTGGATTGGAAGTAGTGTAACTGGGACATAGACCAACACTACACCATGGTAAGCAGTGTTCCAAGCTGTGGCCCCAAGGAAATCTTAGTGAAGTATGGGTTTTAGTCAGTAATAATGTATCAGTATTAGCTTATCAATCCTGACAAATATATTATACTCATTTAAAATGTTAATAATAAGTACAAATGAGTGTAAGGATTATGGGAACTCTATGTACTATATTTATGGTTTTTCTGTTAACCAAAACTAATGTTAAAATTTTTCTTTATTTTTTAATTAAGAAAAAAAGTTTCACAAGAATTGAGCTAAACTATCACATGCTGCCACCAGATACTACTGTGTAATCTAGGGTAAATTCAAGACAGACAAATAAGAGGTCATTCAAAATCTCTTTTTAAAATAGATATTTCTTTCTATCTATTTGTTTATCTATCTATCTATCTGAAAGGCATAGTGACAGAGGAAAAGAGGGAGATTTTCCATCCACTCCTCACTCTCAAATGGTAGCAGTGGCAGGGGCAGGGGCTGGGCCAAGCTGGAGCCAGGGCCATATGGGTGGTAGGTGCCCAAGTATTTGATCCCTCTTCCACTGGCTTCTCGAGCCCTTATCAGGGACCTGGATCAGATGCAGAACAGCTCAGACTCGAGCAGGTGCTGCAGTATGGAATGCCATGGTCACAAGTAGCAACTTTACTTGCTGCTTCACGACACTGGCCCCATTCAAAATATCTGAGTTCCCTGCTTTGCCAATTCTACAAGGTCAGATTCTGTAAATCAACTTGATTAGCCCCAAATATAGAATACATAAAATCAAAGCTGTTAGATATTTTCAGACAAAACTTCATTTGCAATAAACATTGAGATGCCTGTATTTACTCTGCATGAAAAGAAAAACATTTTGTAGTGCTTTTAACCTACTCTTTTTAACACAATTTTTAAAATACTATTCATTTTATTTGAGAATCGGAGAGACAGATAAGAAGAGATCTCCCATCCTCTGCTTTATTCCTCAAATTCTGGAATTGCTGGGACTGGTCCAGGATAAAACCAGGCAGTAGCAGCTCATCCCAGGTCTCTGATATGCATGGTAGAGACCTAATTACTTGAGCCAACACCTGCTGCTTCCCAGGGCATGTGTTAGCAGGAAACTGGAGTGGGAGTTGAGCCAGGACTTGAACCCAGGCACTCTGATGTAAAATGTGGGTATCCAATTGACATTTTAACCACTGGTCTGAACACCTGCCCCAGAACTCAGCTGTTTATTTTAACTTTAGTTACAGAGTCCTACCAATAAGTTCTTTGAGTCTTGAAACTAAAGCTCTTTGAAAGAAAAATGCAAATATATTTCTGTTGGCAGGTTATAAACCATTTTTAAAAATTACAGGAGGCTATTGGACCTAACATTGTACTGGGTCTCAACGGACCACACTACTACTCAAAGTGGAGCCATCCATACTATCAACTCTCCACATCAGCAAACCAAAAGTAAGCTGTTCTCTAACCTCTCAAGAAGTTGGGAGAGACACCGGCATTGTGCTTTAGCAGCTGGAAGCCACCTCTTGCAATGCTGGTTTCCCATAGAGGAGTGCTAG